TTTTTGGATTTTCGAGGTTCTGGCCATCTGGAGCAGACCATGCAAAAACATCGAAAATCAAAAAAAAAGCAAAACTGCAGACCACATGTCCACAGAGTCCAGATGGCCAGAACCTCGAAAATAAAAAAACAAAAAAAACACACAACTGCAGACCACATGTCCACGAAGTCAGACAAGAGCCCCAATGGGGTCTGCAGTTTTTTTTTCTAGGTTTTTGCATGGTCTGCTCCAGATGGCCAGAACCTCGAAAATCAAAAAAAAAACAAAACTGCAGACCACATGTCCACAGAGTCAGACAAGAGCCCCAATGGGGTCTGCAGTTTTGTTTTTTTTGTTGTTTGGGATTTTCGAGGTTTTTGCATGGTTTGCTTTGCTGTATACTGTTGTTGTCACATCAAATTGCCCTTTACTCTGCAAAATCCATATAGAACCCTTCAAAACCTTGCAAAATCAAAACTTTCACATCCCCCCCCCCTCACCCCCCGCTCTCTTCTTTTCGGTGCATTCCTGACCGGTAGGGATATGATAAGACCGGGCTGAAGCCGGCTCCCCGGTGTGAAACATCTCTCAGTGTAGTACTAAGTACCACAACCGGGGGCTAGGGGGCTGTTTGCTGAGATTGAATTTCGAGAAGCGCACAGCTGTTGTTTGGCCAGTGTGACACATATTGACAGGATAGTGTCGAACATGGGCCGAAGAGCAACGTTCTGCTGGTTAGATTCCTTTGCTGGATATATCCGAATATTGGTTTGTTTATTGGACTATATTATATTGGACTGATAGAGTTGAACAATGTTTCAAAAAGGTGTCTGGCACTTATTGTCTGTATTGAAACATGAGGATATATACAAATATAATAAGTCAAATTGGGAGGCCAAGTCGAAACTGTGCAATACTGGTGCATAGTACTTTGAAAACTACAAACAAAAATGAGGACCCTGTTGAGGCTCTCAGGGCGCTGAGCATGTGTATATACAAATATATAATGTACATATTATCACAAGCAACCCCATCCCCATTCTTCATGACATTCAGCCTCCCTCGCGAGGACACTGGCGATGGAAGTACCACTGGCGATGGAAGTACCACTGGCGGCGGTGAAGTGACTCGGAACGTGTTCCGTGCTGTTCATAGCTAAACGCTGCACGAAACAAATCAGTCTGAGTGACTGAGTGACTTGCATGCAGTTTTTGTTTGCGCAACAAGCCTGTGTAAAGAGCGAAAAACGCAGCCATTGTGAACTTTTCGATGAGTCACCTGGTGGGCCTGCTATGGGAAGGGTGGATCCCAGGAATTGCGACTGTCACATTCAAAGAATGCATAAGAATGCGCTTCCCACACACGATTGTATAAAGAACCGGACTCCATGACATGCCTACTGCTGCCTACATTGACCCCCAAACCACCCGAATGTAGGCATCCATCCATGAAGTGTTTGCGCTTCTGAAAGACCGTTCTGCTTCAACGCTTTGTGAAGCACCTCTTGAGTCCACATGGACTGCTTTTGAAGACGTTGCCCACCCCGGACCGGGATGAGTTGAAGACTCCAGAGCACTCCGTCCTCAACCAAGTCCAAATTCTGACAAAAATACCTGCATATACAAGTTTTTTAGAAGATCTTACCATCACCGTCCAGAAGCATTTCAACTGGGTGGTGCTTGTAAGATCTTACACCATAAGCCATTTAGAAACCTTCGTGGCCTCGTGCTGTGGCCTCCTCGTTGCGGCCCCACACGTGATGGATGAGGAGCACTACATCGTGAATGGTCAGGCGACGTTTTCCAGTGAGAAGTTTCTTGGAACATGCGTTGGACATGGATGGTCAAATGATGGTCAGGGGTTGTGAATTCGGAACTCCAACCTAATAGTGATGGCCTCCAACCTAGTGTTGTTTCGGTTTCGATCTTGGGAGGGCAACTAGCTGATGAAAAGGAGGCAAGATTCGATTTCTTGAGGCCCAAAGGCTGGTGATTGGAGCCCAATGGGCGCCTGTCGAGGTGATTTGGATGATGATGTCCACCATCTTGATGTGTTGAATCCGGCTAAAACTCATGGATCTAAGGACTTGCGGCGACTTTAACACGGCCTTCTCTGGCGTCGCGGATGGTGAGTGGCAGAGTAACTGTGGCCGCAAAATGGGTGTTTGCCACCAGGTCGAGGGTTCTGCTGCGCCTGAGACTTCGGATGCTTTGGTGAGTTCCTGAAGCAGGAGACGTCCTCATTTCAGTGGGTGTGGATTAAAACCAAGGAAAACCATGGAAAACCCTGGTTGACCACAGAGAGAGTGAACACAATAGACTACTCTCCAGAGTTGGGCTCCGGGTTTTGATCCCGGGGCGGGGTACGTACAGCAACCTTTACCACAAGCGTCATGTGTAGAGTACGCGTACTTGTGTGATTTATTCACCTGTTTGCCCCGAGTTTGGACACTCCGCCCCTTGTTTGTGAACAACTGGAATCCCTGGCAATTTTGCTGTTTCTGCATGTTCGGTTCATGTTTATGTAGGTGACAGAAACTCATACCCTCCCTATCCCTCAAACCATGTAAGCAGGCCGTGGATCCTCCAGGAAGTCTTCGGATGTTCTTTTTTTCCGAGGGGCCGAACTGTTCCACACATCCACGATTTGTGTCAGGAGGTGTAAGCCATTTTGCGTATCCAAGTCATGAGTCCTTCATGCAAAAAGAAACCCGGGCTCATTGCACAGGGGCACCAAGTGGAGACGTCACAGAAACTCATACCCTCCCTATCCCTCAAACCGTGGAAGCAGGCCGCAGACCCTCCCGGAAAGTCTTCAGCGGATTAGTGGCCGAACTGTTCCATACATCCACGATTTGTGTCAGGAGGTGCGTGTCCAAGTCATTAGTCCTTGATGCAAAAAAGATACCGGGGCTCAGGCGCCCCCTGCATTGATGGTGCATTGCACGGGGGCACCAAGTGGAGGCGTTGTCAGACGTGTTTATATAAAGGTTGTTGTGGAATGTCTTTGTTGCAGTTGGATTGACACATTCATACGGATTCATACCAAAATACGATGTCGTGACCCTACTACCCACCCCACCATCACCCGGTATGTAAGGATTCACGTGCTCTATTTGCGCTTAGTTAATTGAGGATGCAGTTGCACCCCACCCAAAGCAAGCTTTGCTTGCAGGAAAAGCAAACAAAGTCCATTGCAGGTGTCTACCAATATGGTACCTCTATAGTCTTGGGGTTATAACCACATGATCGTGCCCCGGCTCAACTAGGTTGAACAGTGAATCTTTATGAATAACTTTTTGACAGTTGCCACCGTCTTTGTGCCATTTTCCAGGGCGTTTCATAACATTTGCAACTGATGTATACGTACGATTTATACATATACTGCAACGACAGTCATATTACTATAATGTATATATGTATATCACTAAATGATTATTATATGTATGTCAAAGCCACACAAACTGCTCTTCACACTATCAAGCGTCTTTGCCGCGCCACAGGAATTTACCACGCGATGTTCATTGCAGCCCTGGGCACGGACTGGGGGAAGGGGGCGAGGTGTGTGGTGAAAAGAACCAAGAACTGCATGAGCTGAAAGACCAGACATATGTTCCCTTCGTGCTTCTCCACACTTGGGCACTTTCAAAACCTCATGAACATGCTTGCGGGAAGCATGCCTTTGCGGTAACATAGTCAAGCTTGGTCAAATAATAATGCTCCCCCAACTGATCATCGCTGCCAGGTTTGGGTTTGAAATGACTGTTAACAGATTGGTCTGCGTGTGATCAACTCAAGTCAGGAACGTTGTGATGTTTGTTATAGTTTCGATGTCAGAAGGTTAGAAGGTTCAAAAAGGCGGAGGTTTGTTTGGTGAAAAATGGTGGGAAGGCATGACGGGATGTTTGCGCTGGATTGCCCATGATTTCCGCTGGATGAAACCCTGGAACGGTGTTTGCGTTGTTTCAGAGATGGCATGACCCACCTTAGGGGTGTTTCAGTTTGGAGGCTCCAGAGGTTCCTCATGGTTCCTCGTTCCGCCACTGTAGGAATGTGCCATGCGTCCATAACGGTCCATGACCTCGTTCCTCGCAGGATTCCACGGAGATGGTGGAAAAGCACTTTAAATATCAACCACAGTGCAATGACGCGCAGATGCAGTGAAGATGGGGGCGGAAGAGTTTTGTTGCGAAGATGACATGATTTGTGAGAAGCCTCAGAAGTAGACGGCGACGTGTTGGGATAATTATGAGATATGTCTGTTTTGTTGCAGAACTCTTTTGGTTGTCCCCATGAACAATCAACTGGATCTTCGGACCCCAAAAAACCTGGTCCATCAGAGTCATCATAAAATCAGGACCCGTTGCAGGGTCAGTTTCTTTGCGTTGTTTCCTTTTACAACTTCTGTTTGGATGCCAAACCCAATGGCCGCAAAACCCAAGGGTTGGGGTACCACGACTTGTGGACAACTATTTGAGAGCGAACACTTCCCAAAACCAGCACCTTCCCACATATTGTGGGGGGTATCCACAATGGCTGGGGGTCTCCCTATTGTAATACACACTCCAATTTGATTCAATTCGTTTCAGTGTTTTTGCTTCCCATTCAGGGTGTAAGGACTTGTTGCCGGGCATTTTGGTTGGTGTTTCCATTGTGCTATTGGGGAAGGCAGGTTCTCGTATACCAGCTCACCATGCCTACGAGAATCCCTACATTGGAGGAACCCCGACTTCGAATCTAAGGCAAGCTAAGACCCATTGGTTGGGTGCTCTCCCTATTCTGATATGTACACACCATTTTTGGTTCCTCGGAGTTCCTCGTGATAGGGTGGATTTTGATGTCTCAGAGAGGCTCCATAAAAAGAACATAAAAGAACTTACTCGGCCATCCAGAGGGAAGATGCAATGTACCAGATCCCTTTGCGTATGTCTTCGCATAAAAACTGACATGAAGTGGCAATACCTTTGAACGTCCAGGAAACTGGTAGTTTTAGCATGTTTGTGTTTTTTGATTGGGAAAACACATAGTATGAATAGATGGAGTTAGAATGTCTAGATAGGACAAACTGATCTGAGAAGACATTGGACAAAATATTGTCGTGCTATCGAATCATTCATGGGAGCATTTACCTCTCCTGTGTTTGCTTCAGTTAGATCTTTTGTACTATCTACTACTACTTGTACTGTCACACGTGTTAAGTGCTACCCTGGTGTTGCTTGCAGCACGGTGCCACGCTGCAGTTGTATTTGTGATTGTGATTGTCGCTGTTGCTGCTGTTCTGGACAATGTGGATCCTTTTGGATCGGTAAATAGATGGTTGCTGGTTTGTTTGATGAATTACAGTACAATATTGGTTATTGGTTGAACAAAAAAACAACTTATATATCACCAGCAACACATGGGAACTTATTGAACAAAGGGACCATAATAGAACACTAACCGGAAATAACAATGACATTAAACATCTGAACCGTCAAATAGTAAAAGCTGCGCGGAATGAGCGAAAAAAAAAAAGTCACCTCATTGAGCAGTTCAATGAATACCCTCAAGATAAAGAATAAACAAAGGGTTATGGAAAGCGGTTAAGGACCTGAAGCGGACATTCACACCGCAAGATGGACAGATGAAGAATCAAAATGGGACGGTGCCTGTGACGCAAAGAGCACAGACGATTGCAGACTCTCTTGAGAAACAGCATTGGAAGAATGATGTATATAGACGCTGGAATGCCCCAACAGACTGAAATTGTACCGCCCAACGGCGCCGATGAAACACCTTTCAGCTTGGAAAAGTCATCTTGGTCACTAAAATCAGCGGCTCAAAATAACAAGCAAGCTGCACCAGATCATCTACAAAGGGAGTTGTTGAAATGGTTGAAGCATGATGATCGAAAGATGTTGTTGAACCTAATAAACATGTGGTGGTGTGAGAAAACTGTCCCCCATGCACTCTTCCAAGCTCGAGTGGTCCCGATTTTAACAAAGGGGAAACAGAGAATGCGGCAAATTATTGGCCCATTTCACTACTGAGTATTTGTGAATTCTATATGATAATGCTTAAGACACGCATGCAAAATGTGATTGAGAATGATTTATGCAGGACGCAGTATGGTTTTCGACCTCAGAAGTCTACATCGCATGCTATTTACATTGTCAGAAGAATACAAGACTATACTATGCAGAAATTAAAGGGGGCAAAGTCAAGATGGCAATGCTAGATTGGGAAAAGTGTTTGATAAAATACAGCATGATAAACTCATGCTGGCACTTCAGAGAATGGGGTTCAGCAAGCAATATTGTGATGTAATTCAAGATTGCTATTCCAAATCCACCTTTTTTGTACAGGGTATCTCCGAAAACAAAGAGCAGAGCTCAGGGATACGTCAGGGTTGTCCCTTGTCTCCTTATCTCTTCATATGTGTATTGTCCTGTATTGACCATGATATCTCTGCGAGAAAGAAGCAGACAAGTAACCAATGCTAGGATTCCTGGCCTAAATCTTGATATGGTGTATTACGCTGATGATACATTTTTTTCTCTACAGATAATCGAGCCCTGAATGAGATGCTGCGCCTGACTGAGTCTATATCTGGCAGATATGGTCTGAAACTCAACAAGAACAAATACGTAGCAATCCAAATGAACAACGATTGCTCAATACCCTTCGAAAATGGCAACCCGCTCCTGACAAAATACAAGGCAACCTACCTGGAAAATGAAATAAACCGCGAAGTACACATCAAACACAAAGTGTTAAACAAAATCCAAGACATTCGGAGGATATGATTTCAAGCGGGGCCGTATTGGAAAGCATCAAATGCAAACCAGAAGTGGCAGCGTATTATTTTGATGCAGTCATTTGTTCCAAACTACTCTATGGCCTTGAGACAGTCCATCTTACAAGCGCGTTGTTAAAACAAGTTGATGCCTTCCAATTGCGTTGCTTGAGGAGAAACCTCAAGCTGGCGCCCACACTTGTAAATTGTAGACGGGTCCAATACACATAGGGCCGTAATACAGAAAGCATCGTCTATTGCCTACCCGGATAGTAATGGTTCCCGCTCGATCAAGCTGTTCAGTACTCACTACAATGAAAAGAGGGCTAAGTTATTGGGTCACATCATTCGAGCTGGTGATAGTGATCCTTTCTGGACCACCCAATTCAATAAACCAGGTGCGATATTTCAAAGCACGAGAAAAATGTGCCATGCTGGACCAAAAAAGCAATATTTACCCAAAAATGACATATGTTATGATGGGGTGTCCCAGGAGAGGTAGACGTGGACCGCAAATTCACTGGGATAGAACATATTCTCAGGTTTCTGCGGAGGATTGGGCTTCAAAAACAGCCTGGTCAAGCTGAAGTGTTTGTGAAAATTTCCAGTCCACAAGTTTCTGCTATATTTCCGCAAATTTCCTGCATATTCCCGCAAATTTGCGCCATAGACTTGTTTGTCAATTTTGCAAGTTGCAGCGCATCCAAGAGTTACCCCCTTCATCAAACGTTGGAAAGCCCAACATTTGAACTGGAGAGCCTGCTGTGTAGGGCTTAATCAATCCTGCACTCATATTGTGTCCTGTTGCACCAGGTGCAGGTCAAGATCCCCAAAGAGCACAAAAAGTGGAATATTGCACTTTTTTGGCATGACAGCTCCAAAAAGCAAGTCTATTGACTTATGGCATTTTTTGGCATCCAAAGGTTGCTCCAGGGTTGAGACACATTTCATTAGAGGCCCGATCAGCAAACCGGGTACAATAGGCGATGTGACCGGCCTCGACAAATTGGCTGCGCTATGCCAAGAAATATGTTTACGAAAACGAACTCAATCTCCAACATTTTGAAGAAGGGCCCACTGATGATAACCATATATCTATAATGCAGCTTTGCAAAGATCTTTCTGATTCATCCGCCAAGGCTTGGAAACGCCAACGCCGTGATTGTTTTGACGATACAGCCGAAACACGGTAGGGCGGGAAACAAAAACGGTTGATACTCTTGTGGTTCTTGTGACAAGATTCGTATCTATCGCAGATAGAATATACAGTTCAAAAAATGGTGACCAGGACCAGCATATTCTATATGCGCCCTGTATTCTCAGTGTATTTGCGACTACCTCTCTGCTTGGGGTTTGAGTTTGAATATATATATATATATATACGTCCTAGTAGCAGTCGTCTACGCCTTCACGACACCGTCAGCTTTGGACATAGCCCTGGGATTCCCCGTTCTTCGGGAAGGTCCGACTGCTGGGCCAGCCATTTGGCAAATCCTCCGATCCAACGGCCACGGTGATCCAACCGGGACGACGGCGACCCATCCGGATGATCCAATCCCGAGTCAACGGGACTTCACGGCAGTTTACGGTACATGTGAGGGAACAATGAAGAACTGGAGCGATACCCTCATGGCCACAGAGAGTTTTCACGGGATTCTGGAACAAGTTTGTTTGGGAGAACATTGGCAGCTTAGATTGCAGCTTTAAACAGGGACAGTTTTTGTATGTTTTTGTCAATAAACATTACTTTTATTAAAGGATGTCGCAGGATGTCAATGTGGAAATTCATGCTTTAAACTAGTTCAGTATTGGGGGCTCGAGCTGGCTAAGCTTCATTAATAAGGGCAGGTCACTGAATCCTAGGTGCGCATTCCGTGGATCCCCACATGCACGGATGTCGTTGGATCAAGCTCCTTCGCCGATGGAGTGGCCCAAGTACACTCCTTAAACATGAAGGTCACCGGAATTTCCAAAACTGGGTAACTTTCCACGGGTGTTTACATGTTCAAACTTGTCCTTGCACCCCGGGATTCACCATGATTTTGGATCGCCGCTTCTTCAGGACGCTGCCACCGGGGGCTCCCAAGTGACGGTGGAATTCGAGGGCGATGCCGGCCCCACCACTGGCAGCAATGAGCAGCAGACGGTGCGGTTTCGGTGCTTCGGTGGTGGATCCTGTTGTCAAGAGCGCTACCGTGAAACTAGAGCTGCTCTAGTATATATAATATATATATATATTCCGAAAGAACAATTTGTCTAAGTGACTTCTATGGAATAATCTTGGCGATTTGCAGGAACACGTCCAAACGGTTTTGCTATGATTAAAATTAGAAACTGTTTGCAGGGTACAGTATCTCTTAAAACAAAAGTCACGATTGAATGACAGAATCACGATTTTAAGTGCAACACTGAGTCGTGTCATTGCGAAATGACACGCTAGGTGCGAAAAGGACAGTAGTTCCTGCAAAGCAAAAAAACAAGAGCCTGCATTGCACCAAGATAGATCATCGAATGTTTGCAACCAAGGAAGCCACCAGCCTTTTCACCTGGTCTTGACCCGATGCTGATCAACACTGTTTTGGGAGTGTCACCAACAGGCCACGGCATAAAATCTCCTATTTGTGAAGATTCCTCGGAGAGGTCGAAAAACGACCTTCAACGTGTTCTACAAAAAGCACCAAGATAGACAAAGTTGCCCAAATTGAGCCACATAGGGGTTGTCGGCTAAATCAAGCGCTGCAATTGGAGTATGAATGATCCGAAGCAGCTTGAATGACACTAACAAGGGATTCAAAACAGTCCGACACTCAGGGCCTCCATGCACACTGTCTCTGGTGAGACCAGTGGAGCTTCCGTGGCCTCCGTGGGCAGCGGGCTCGCAGCGTCGTCGATGGTGCCAGGCTTGGTACAACGCCATCGATAGCACCCGCAACGGCGACGCCAGGGGGCTCAGCGCGCAGATCCAAAAGGATCCCAAAGGGATGTCAGTTACTGGTGTGACAGTAGACATGTACTTGGAAGTTCCAAGTGTTTTTTACCGTTTCCAAGTTCTTTCATGTTCTGCACTTTGAACAACTACTTTGGGCTTGCAAGTTACAAGTAGATCAAATTGGTTTTGCTCCCCTTCACAGATAAGACCAAGTTGGTACAGGAACGGTTTCGTTTCGGAAGCCAAGGGAGAGGTTTGTCAGCCAAGATGACTCTGTTTGTTTCAAAAACTTTCACCTAAGAAGTGATAAGAGAGATAATAGTACTAGTGCATCGCTTTTGTTTATATATAGTAGTAGCCTAGCACTTAGAATCTTTACCCTTTCACTTCACTGTCACCAAAAAATAGAAACGGACGTCCGGGTGAAAACAGTGCAGATAGAATAGTTTCACAGGCACATAGAATATTAACATATATTAAGCAACCGATTGATGGCTTTGAATATTCTAACTGGTGGCCTACTACATATATGCAATGTTAAAGGTGTGTGTCGGGCGCAACATACATGTTTTATTGGTATGACATGTTTTACATCATGTCTACTTGTCTTGGGATACGCGTGCAAATGAAGCTGTTTGCAAGCAATATATGCATGCGCTTCCAGATTTATGCTATTTTATGCTACTACTACAGTAGCTGCTGGTGAGATGGTGTTCCCTCATGTTCGATGTGCCTCTTGAGTATGCACCATGTTTTCTCCGGTCATGCCTGTGACATCCTGTGACCTGTTTACTGTTCAATGTTTTGTTTGTGTTTTGTCCGTTTCAGATGAAGGAAGTACATTTTTGGGGGACTGGAGGGAGGCTTCAGCGGCTCCATGTCCTGGAAACAAATCGGCACCACGTCCCCTACACCCAACAAGCACGGAAGTGGAGAGCCTTGTGTTTATAAACAAATGGTCTTCCAAGTGGCCACTGTCCACTTCCACCATTGTTGGAGGATCAAAAGCACCAAACGCTCTTCCTCGAAACATGAAGCACACGACTTTGGACCCTGGAAACCAAGGCGGCACCCCGCAACCCCGCCATCCTTGAACAAAGGCACCCCGTTGTTCTCTCCTCGTCTCACCTCGTGTCTCACCTCGTGGCAGTTGACGAGCATTCAAGATGAGATGAAGAAGTTGGTCCTAGAGCCACTGGGCAGAGCCGGAGCAGTCGGAGCGGCGACGGATCTCACGGTGATCAGGTTCTATGACTCACTGATACTGTGCTTTGCTGGTAGGTGATGGTAGGTAGTTTGTAAGTTTATTTGTTTCAGCCATGAATACGTAGATGTCAAATATATATATATATGTCAACCGTCCAGTACCGAGAGGATTTCAGTACTGCATGTTTTGTCATGGTCCAAACCTTCAAAAAGGTTCCGAGCCTGTGCTTTGGATTGTTTGCAGCCTAAGTGGCACTTTTGTGTCTTGTCTTTTCCAAACAACCAAGGGAGCTCTCCGAGGATCTGCACCATCAAAGGTAAATGTTTCGTCGGCCGGATGTAGCCAGGGCACTACGAAGCCAGACATTTGTCAGGTGCGAGGTTGGAGTTCCGAGGCGGTGCCCTAACTTGGAACTGCAAGGTTTAGGTGAAGACAAGGCCGACCTCTTGAAGACTGGATCAAGGGACTGGCCATGTGAGCCATGCCATAAACCCACTTGCTTGTAATGAGCAAGGGTCTTGTCATAAGAGCTGGGGGCGTAAGGAAAACACTGCAGTGCGCAAGGTCGCGTAACCTTTTTGTGCCGCGTAAGCTTTTTTGTGTTTGTTGTTTTGCAGTTCGCATTTGATGTGAGAACAGATTTGGTAGAGGTCTGCCGTGTTTTCTAGAATCAGGAACCTCACAAAAATCGAGGAGTGTCACGGCACTTTCCGCGTAAGCTCCGCGCAGGCAGCGCTTAAGTCTCATGCGCGTGCGTGAGCAATCGTGAGTAGTAGCCCCTATGGCTCCCAAACCCAAGGCCTTTTGCCAACACTGGCCCGAAAATATACACAAGCTTCCGCTCGGCTCTGCTCATAAATGCCAACACAAAGCAGGTCCATAGAGGATAAACTCTTGGACTCTTGGCGGTGTCCATGAGGCTTGGTGGTGCACTGTTGTGTCTAGTCTGTGGCACACCTTGTGGCCAAATGACGTTTGTGATGTCGCTGCGCCATGCGGTTTTGCGCGGCCTCGGTGGAAAGTGCGCTTGCGTGAGTCCGGGCCACTGTGGGAAGGAACGCATGCTTCTGCAAGTAGTAGCTCTTGAAGCCCTATCGTTGTACAAAGCACATCGCGTAAGCATGTTCCCAGCGGATTCGCAAAAAGTCTGCGAAGTCTGGCTGCGTAAGGGTGGCGTAAGCGTCCACTTCCCCCCACACGCCGCGTAAGAAAACCTGTGGGGCGCGTAAGAAAAACCTATGTGTTGCGTAGGCACCCTCTTACGACATAGGAGTCTATTTCAGCACAGCACATGTGCTGGATTGAAAAACATCCTCCGGCTATGTCACAGACAACGGACGCAACTCAAATCCAACCAAGCAAGTGTTCCCCCCCAAGAGGAAAGCGGCCTTGTACTTCTCCCGGACAAAATGTATCTATGGTCAGGCTCAGGCTCTGGGATCCAGGGATGCATTATTTGGCTACCCACGGAGTTTTTGGTCTACTTCTGGCCGAGTCCGAGTCGAGCGTTTTTTTGATCAAAAGGTTCTTGTGCAGGCAGCGAGACTCCAAGAGACAATCGTGTTTCCAGACTTGCTGAAACCGATGTGTTCAGTAAACATAATATTTGTTGGAACCGCAGGTACCTTGGGACCTTGTGACACTGTGAGGTCAAGGCTTAAATCCCACAACAGATTGGGATCGTTGGGATGAACGACCGCGCATTAAAAAACAGAAAACAAACCACCGGCCGGCGAGGGGGACGAACCAAGGATCGCTCAATTGACCTTGACCACCTGGACGATCGATGTTTGGGCGCCAAGCGTCGAATCGTTCGTTTGTTTCGTGTCGTGTCGACCTGTCGGTGTGCGACCAACGAGTTCCCTCTTGTTTGTGTTTTGCGTTTTTCAGACGGACAGCTGAAATGTATATGGGTAATTCATGGTATTTCTAAACGGAATATTTGAGGGTAAACATGGTATATAGGCATAGTATATGTTGTCCAGGTTCGCAACAGGCTTAGATGGAGAAGAAACTAGAGAAGGTGGTGTGGAAATTCACACAAAGCGTGACAAGTGTTTCGTAAAGTGTTCGTCATAGGTTGTTTGGGTCATGTTCTGGGTCCGCAGCCCCACCACCAATTGCAGTGTCCTTCTATTGGTCGACTTTGCAGCTCTAATCGTTGGGGTCAAGCTTGGCAGACCCCATCTCCACTGTTGGAAACAAGTTTGCTTGGATCAGAGGGTTACTAAGTAGCGCCCATTTTAGTGCCTTTCGTGCCCATCTCTGCCGCCCATGCCACACCCATGCCACACCGCCGAGAAATGGGACGTCAATGTCGCCCAATATGCTCTGGACCGATCAGTCGATCCGGTCGGGAGGTGGCGCCACCAAACGCGCCGGACAGTTCTGAAGACCTACGCATCCTGCTTGTGGGAAGTATACTCCTAGTAACTAACATAGAAGTGGAAAATCACCTGCTTGACTTCCATGTTGGCTTCAGGGAGTGTACTCAGTGCATCCAGGTGACCACCGGTCCCGAGGACGTAAAGTGTAGACCTGGGACGCTCCTCCCCTTGACATCGCTGGGGACTGTTTCGAAGACACCGCTTTGGAAACTCGACAGGCTTTGTTCCTGTAAGATTACAATCGGGCCATTTATCTTGATTAAGCCTGGCCTATCAGATTGAACCCTATTTTGTCCTACCACATATTATATGAACAACAAAACGCTGCCCAGAAATGCTAAGGACAGGTTTGTAGACCAGACTTCTTTGCTTCTCTCGTCCATTCGGACCGCTAGCCTGATCGTTTAGCCGCATACATAATCAACGTCTACTCAGTAGAGGAAGATTGTTTGAAGAGCTTGCATGCATTCCATTATGAAAGGAGAGTCCTGAGTCCTGATCTCAGCTTGTTCATGTGTTGTGTTTTTTCAATTTTTGGAGCTTGAGCAGATTCATTGAAGTGGAGCACGCAGACAGAACTGTAAACTGATTCTGTTGCAAAGGCCCAGGACCATCTTGTTGGATCAAGTAGAATATTTGGTATTGTTCTGTGCCGCAACCCTCGTACAGCCTATCCATGTATACATGTACCAAGATGAAGGACAATGGCGGCAGCGGCGGCAACGGCGGCGACGGCGGCGACGGCAACCAGGAGCTGGTGGGCGAGACGCGAGAGTAGCGAGGCGTTTAAAGGCTTTACGGACCGCCGAAGAATCCGGAGAATCCAACGTCGTGAGTGCTCGGGCCCGTTTCAACGTGAAGACGAGTTGATGAGGGTTGTTTTGACAGGCGGAGAGTAAGCTGTGTGTGAAGATCATTAAAACCTTCTAGCGGTCGATCTTTTTCATTCAGCAGATTCAAGGGATGTGATGTGAGAGAAGTTCCGGAAACATTTTGGCCGAACATCACCCTGACTTGCTTGGTGACCTTTCCCCCAAAAACGGCCTCTCCAAACTCGACAAGATCCAGGCACAGGGTACCCTGAACCACTTTCGGCCGATTGCAACTGATGACGCGTAGCAGGGCCCAACATACAAAATCGGCAAACATCTTGGGAGATTGTAGGTGCACCCACGAATTGTCATACTGTTGGGGGTTCTAATTGCATGTTATTTATTTGTTGCTTTCGTGGAGACCATGGAGGAAGTTGGATTGTATATAAATGAACACAGGCAAGTCGTGTTCACACAATGTTCATGCTGTTCTTTTCAGAGAAGATGTTGTTCGACAGAGATCTTGGACTTTTTGAACCAGATGCGACGAACATGATACATCCTCGCGAGGACAACTACCAGGACGGAGATGTCTGGTGGGAGTTCCAAGACGGGCCTCTTGGGCCTAAACGTCGTCCATGTCGGCCTCACCTGCTCCGGTGGGCACCTCCCCTTTAAAGCCCTGGAACTGCAGCGGTCGCTGTGTAGCGAAGTGTAATTTTTGGGGACCCCTTGAAAAGGACAAATCGACTAACACCTCTGGGGTTGGGAGCTCTTACTATTGGAATTCACACACCCAGATGTCGACAGTTCGGGATGAACCGATGTGTTCCAGTGCACCTCAATTTTTAGGGACCATTAATGGAATTTAAATTGTTGTTCCCCACAGCAGGTATTCCTATTGGATCGCGACGATGGCAACACCCCAATGTGAGGATCATGTATCATGTATAAATTAAATATATATATATATACATAATATACATAGCTACTAAAATATGTAAAAATCCATCAATCCAAGCACACATAATAGTAGACCTTGGACAGGTTCCATACAGTTTTCAACTAATTCGTATCACTCTTTGCAAGAAACATCGCAGGACTTGCTTTTCCCTGTTTCGTGCGACCAACAGAGTCCGGGGCCCTCGGTGGCTTTGAGCTGTCGCTTTGAGGATGGACTGCCAGACCAAGCGCTGGCAAACCGAAGAGCGCGCACAGAAGCTGCTGCAGCACGCCTTCATCATCACTGGCAAGGCGCGAGATCGGCCCGACTTTGGCGCCTTTTGGGACCAAATGGGTCGTTTTGTGTTTGGAACTCAGGAGACCTGCGACGAACACCTTTTGGGATCAATAGGCAGAAGCTGAACTCGGATCCTGCCGTCTTACGGGCTCTCGAGAGCTCCCCAAAGACGTCCCTGTCCTCTCCGGTTCTCTCGGGTTTCCACGGGTTGGGTCGAGAGTTGATTTCCCATGTTCTGAGGTACTGAGCAAAGAACTTTAGGAACTTTAGGCATGCAGGTTGCAACCAGTTCTTGCCCCATGCGCCACCGGACCTCCACCGGACCTCCACCTGCACGACCGTTCTTGTTCCTCGAGCTTGAGGGTTTCTCCAAAACTGCTTTCCGGTTGGATCCCAGAACCATCCAGAACCATCCAGAACCCACCCTTGGCTGGGATTTTCCGCGGCACCTCTTGGAGGACACCTGGGCGGGCTGCAAAGGCTCGGGGCAGAAGGGTCTTGATGCTGTGATCTGGTGCCGAATTTGCTGGACATGTCCGAACTTTTCTAAAAAAATGTTTCCTGTATCCTTTCGTTCAAGACAATATCTTGAAAAGCCCTATTCATCCCCCCAAAAAATAGGTTTGGACCTGCAATCTTGGGACTTCTTCCCCAGGACCTTTCTTGGATCATACAGCATTCCCGTAGCACCGAGTCCCTTGGAAGTGTCAACAATGATTGGGGATATTTGCCAGCAACAGCCAGTGGATGGTTATTGGATGGAAAGCAATGGAAAGCACACGGTCAAGGGTGGTTTAAATCTTATCATTGTGCTGGTACACGATGCCACCACCAAACTCTTCATCTTCAAACTCCACCAGCTGCCTGGTCACACGATCTCTTGACTCACCACTACCTCCATCCCCACGATGCTAATGAGGCCACATGTGACGTGAGGCCACACGGCGAGAATGTACTTGTTACTAGTAGCGAGGTCTTGTTCCTAATAGCTTCTTGTTACTACTAGTAAGGCACTTGTTGACGTGCCCATTCCGTTCTTTCGGGGTCGCGAAAACCACGCATCGTACAAAGTCATGAAAACCAAGACAGCTGTTGGTTTGAACGAATCGGACTCCAACGGATGGATAGTTCAGCTGGTTTGACATGACTAGACCTGCACCTTTACCGGAACTCTCACAAGCAGTTGGCAGATATCACTCCGTAATATCACTCCTGTATTTATTCAAGTACAAGCACGTGAGAAGCAACTAACATCAACTACTCCGCACCCAGTTGCTTCTACTGCGTGGTCTCTATGACTGTACCTGGGTGTTCTCGGTTCGCACCGTTCCTATCCAAACAGCGCTTCCGGGCTGAAGGCCTTCTGGACAGTTGGGTGGTCTACGGCCCCACGACCAAGACCCGAACCACCAACAAGTACCTGGGCTACCTGGGCGCTGGCAGTGCTTGTTGGGGCTACCAAATCTGGAGACGTTTTCTTGGAGATGCTATAGCTGGCACCATGATGTTTGGCGCACGGCGCAGCACTACGCAGCATCCGGGAGGGATTCGTTGGCAAACCGAAAGTTGTTGCAGCTCAAAGGCTCAATGGAAGATGCACAGGGTGGGTGGGGTCGGTCGAACACCAGCCTTCCCTATGTGTCCATAAACTACATTTCTACCTGGTAGACCAAGACCTGCGGATCCCAGAATTGATCGTCCCATATCGTCCTCAACCCAGGTGCACTGTGCCCTATGAGCTGATGAGCGGAGCAATCAACCCTGAGCGCCTTAGCTACGGCAGATGTGTGGCAACGTAGCTGGACATCTGGGGAACATGATTGTAGATCTGGGGAACAGGATCGTAGAAACTCAAGGAGACCGACCTTCTCAGATCTTCAAACAGAGTGCGGCTTGTAGACTTGACGATGCTGTTCCAGTCGGTTAGGCTACTATTTCACACTGTTTTAATCCCAACAAACACACACACACACGCACACACACGTATTTTTGATGCTGAATCGGTCTCGCTCTCTTTTCAATCTATGGATGATGCAGTTGCATCATTTGATGAAGTCCCCACCCCGCAGAAGATGTGAAACATTGTGAACCAACTCATCGCTGTCGGGAGATTCCAGCTGCTTCGAGCCAAACGTCGCGGAAGTTGCGCACCTCCCATGTTTGACTCAGATGTCCTGTACCCCCAACATCAATTCCCCATTTATAACGATGTTGTTTGATTCAGCCACCCAAAGGATCCTTCCTTTTGGTGGTGCTTGCATCAAATATTTATGGACCTGCTGCGGCTTTTTGGAGTCCCCGGCAGACCGATGTTTTCGCAGAAGACGATCGGTCGTCGTGGACCAAGGTGGCTGAATGACCCTTGCTGCAACTGGGTGAAGCGTCAAGAGCAGTGCTGTGGGCCACGCACCATCACGGAGCGGAACAGACGACATGGCGTTGGTATTGTTTGGGACTTGGACCGGGACCTCCAGGTTGGATTGAAGGCACCTCCTAAAGGGTCTACTATAGTCTACTCCAGAATTGTAATATATTGTGTAAGTATACTTGTTACTTTTGCATGATCAATTCCTGGCTACTTGGATTCAGATGGATGAAATGATGCTGTCACCGCCGCACCGCCCATTTCCAGGACATATATGCCCCCCATGTCAAACTGATACACCGCTTCAACTTTCAACTTGTAGTTTCTTAGTAGAAGCTGGAAACAAGAGGCAGTCTTCCTATCCTGATGGACGAACCCAGTCCTGACAGTTCTAAACTCTTCAAGTCAATGGACCATTTGCATTGCTGCGACAGGAGAACATCACCATTGTGGATGCTCTGAACGAGCCTCCTGTCCAAAGTTGGCCAGCTCCAGGTGCCAAGTGTTGGCACCGCTCCAGCATCTTACTGTAATTGAATGTTGACATGTAGCTTGACCATCTTCCATCCCACACAAGCTGTTTGGGGTGGAAGCTTGGAAGCCTAGCACCATCCAGAAGCCTAGCTGTTTGGGGGTCCGTGGAACGGCGTTCGTCGACTTACAGAGGGGAAGTTCCGGTTTGGAGGCCAAAGAACAGCCCTACTATACTAGGAGCTTCTTGCTACTAGTAGCTACAGTAATGCCTTTGTTACTAGTAGCGATGCACCTTGTTACTAGTGGTTTCTTGCTATTATATTGACCAGGTTGCATGCAGCGTGTGGCCTTTTGATGTACCTCTTGAATGGGTCGTGCAGAATGTAGATCAGATATGATTCGATCAGATGCTATTACATTGGTTTGCCTATATGTTGACCAACTGCGGGTGAGTCTAAGCGACAGTCAACGTCTCAAAATGCCAAGACATGTTTTCGTTGACCATGTCGCTTGCTCCCGCAAGCCACCCCAACAGAGGGAAAAAACACAGGTGACATGAGAAGACGCGAATCATTAGTATAAACATTCTGAGAAACAAGTTCTCACAGTGGGGGATTCAGCTCGAGTTTTGCTCAGGTATTGCCAGTCTCTAGTTGGGATACTGACGATAGTGGATGCACACGAGCGCTTTGCAGCGCATAGAATCTAGTGGAATCATGGGTCAATGTATAACATGTATAACATTTCACAAAGTTAGGCGGCAGAGTTAGTTTCGATATGAAGATGCCTCTTCGACCCCATTTCGACAATTCTTTCGTTATCTTTCGTTCATGGACTTCTTTCAGGGACAACATCGCACTCTACTCTGCGGCCACGGCTTCTTGGTTGGAGGATTTGGACAGGCGTCACATGGGGAGGGCTGTATCAAGGCCCCGGGTGTCTAAGGTCCGGGCCCAACCACCCTGGGTTGGGCCCAACCACCCTGGGGTTCTCTGGGATTCTTGGACCCTCCAGGTGTGGCTGTGGTGTGTTTTTTGTTCATTGCAGTAATGAGTGGAACTAACCATCCGTAGCTGAGGATTTGGTGATACCAGCTCTATAGACTTATTATAACAAGATTCCGTTGAAGAGGCCAATATGTATTCTTGGTGGAACAAATCCAAAACTGCAGGATTTCGTTCGACTGCTGGACTCTCCCGAATGTCCTACAATTCCCCTCATCGCCGGAAGCGTTGGAGATTCTCCAAACCGCCACCCCTGGCATAGATCTTTGCAAAAAACACAAACAATTTGTGTCTCTTTGGAATTTGGAACGGGGTGCCGTCCAAAGAATTCATCCCCAAACTCAAGCTGCATGATCTTTGGTTGATGACATGCACTTTAACAGCTTGATCCTTGGATTCCGTAGATCGATGTTCAACCTGCCAGATCCGAAAAAAGCAACATGAACAAACAACGAAAAAAAACCAACACGTCCTCCTCCCATCAAACGCTCGGGCACAACGGCAACGGACCAACGGACCAAGCTCGGGCATCCGGGACCCGAGGATTCCGGCACGTTGGCCTTGGATCTCGCGATGATGTACGCCTCCTTGGAGACGGAAGCCGCGAAGTCCTGCTTCGGGCCCTACAAGGCCTTTCCGGTGGAGACGGGGTGACGGGGATTGACGGGGTGATGGGATGGTGACATTGGATCGGTGCCGCACATGTGCGGACCACTGATTTGAGTCGTGGGTTTTATTCTATTGTGTTTTTTTAACTGATTCCTTATGTGCCTATACCAGGACCCACTGTCGGGGTGCTTTTGAACACTCCTTAACCTCTAAGGGGCTATCAATGGAAGCCCCTCTAATGGTGTCCTGGTGTAGGTGTTGTTTACTCGTCGTTTCCTGAGCTCAGGCGATTAAATGACTGCCTAAGGCTTAAAGACTGCTTAAAGCGATGAAGGCTGGGTCTTGGTCTAGAGTCTATGGGCTATTCAGATCCTTTGCCCAGTTTCATAGTTCTATCATTCACGGAGAGCTGTGATACGAGTAGCTGGACGTAGCTGCCTGAGGATTCACAGCTCTCTGACGCAAACAGCTTGGTGAAGAGATCTATAGGAGACACCATGCACTTGAAGCACTTGGACCTGGACCAAGGGGATCCAAGTTGGATCATCCGTCGTGGTTCCCGGATGGTATTCTTTAATGTGTTTAAGTTTCTTGTTCTCCAACACTGTAGCGCTCTAAATTGAGTCCTCTACAGTAGCCCTAGTTCAACTCGACTGGTTGCGGCGTGCAAATAAATGAACTATTGTTCTCCAACATAGTCAACCACAGCACCAGACAGGTACCGTAGTTTGGCACATCAATCAAAAATTGGTTGACTTTCAATATTTTACGAAGAGGGTCTTTTTTGGGGGGGAAGGCCGGGTGGCTTGTCATCTTCCATTTGACCCCCAGTCCGGTTCCCTGTATATATTGACCTCCCCATTGGCTGTACTGGTAGAGATGATCCGAAATCCCAGGCTAAGAGTGCATAGGAGTCACCACGAACCATCCGTCGAGATACCCTCTGAGTGGATCTCTTTTGCACATCAAGGACCTTCAAAAGCACCTGAACAACCTTGTTCACCACCTGCTTCAGGAGTACCTTCCGTTCATCTCTTCTTTACATCATCCGACCCATCACGAGTCCGGTCCCGAACGCAACCTCGGACGGGACTCCGAGGGCGCATTCGAAGCTCTGAACGAAGATCGGGTAAACAAAAAAGGGTGCACCGAAGTGCTGCTGTTGAATGTGTTGAGAAGACGCCCCCACCGAACCGCTCGCGGTGAACCGAAGCGTAGTCCATGGATTCCAAGTCCATCGAACCGAAGCGGTCACTTCGAGCGACTCTGCTATAGGCCTTCATGGACTCCACCAGCCGCTTGGGAGCGATGAATGAGGTCGTACTCGTACCTGGAACTATCAGGATGCATTTGTTTCAAACGCTATTAGGTGGAGGCCATCGCCACTAGGTGGAGGCTATCGTTATTAGAAAGAAAGAAAAATGCAAAGAAGAAAGAAAGGTCTAGTCTAGTTCTATATTATGTTCTTTTTGGTCCAAGTCATCGAAACGCCGCACGATGGACCCGAGACGCATTCAGAATCGAAGGATGGATCCTGTGAAACCACTGGAAGTACAGGATGTATTACGCACTACAGTCCTACAGTAGCTCGCCCCAGACCATCCGTGGAGCTACTGTACTGAACCAAAACGATCAGAGTCCAGAGACGTCCAGGGTAGTTGAGGCACGGATAGTTCTGGTACCGTTTAAATCAAACAAGGTTTGCATGCACAATACGAGTTGCCGAGTTGCCTTTCGCATCCATCGGTTTGGGGTGAACTTCCATTCTCCTGTCAAACCACTCGTAGTCGGTCTAGATCACGAAGCCATCTCCAGCCCTTACCAAGTTGTTTCTGTAGTTATTGATTTTTTCTTTTTTACATGTGCCAAGAGCGAGCTGTGGCGATGACAAGAGGGAGCTCCATTCTAGGAATATGCAGGGTTTGGGACTGCCACGCTGCCAGGACTGCCACATTCGCCAGTATAAGAGCAAGACCTACAGTATTGGGGACCCCACTTCTTGTTGTTTTTGGTTTTGATTTTCGAGGGTACAGTCCCTTACTTTTGAGCCATTGCCGGGTGAATCATTCCGCACATATGAGCTATATATGAGAGTTTCAAAAGAAGAACCAGGGGGTCAGGGATATTGCAGGAACATTTGCTGAAGAACTGGGATTGTCCAAATCAAAGACTTGAGTTGAAAACTGGCTATGCTATGAATGTTTGACTTCTATTTTTTGCTGAACAACACGGCTATTGCTGCTGTATCCTTGAAGTTCTGCATAGAAGTGCAGACAAATGGAGTGGGGACATGAGGGGAGAATACATTTGTTTGGTGGAGTGTGAGGCCATTCTCAGGTTACCATAGGTTGTTAGACCTGCCCCCCCAAAAGATCGAGCAGGCGGCTATGCCTCCAAAGCTCGCGCAGATTCAATCTCGCACGTTTCAATGACTAACGGACCAACCCCACTCTCACTCTGCACAAGTTCCAGTTTTGCTTGCATTTCATACAGGAGCCGTGGGCTTTTCGGGTTCCACTGGAGATGCTTCCAGAACCCGTGGCTCCGTAGTATAAGACTCACCCTCGTCAGCCTCCGACGACTGCGACACTGCCCATGGCGCTGAGACGACATTTGGAAGGTTGTGGACACCTGTCGCACCGCCGTGGAGGGCGCCTGGAGCGACCCTTGGAGCAACGGAGCGACCCTCGTGTGTCGTTCAAGCCTCTAACGGAATCGTAGGAGGAATCTATGAGGTGAAGGCTTTGTGTTCATGTGATTTCGTGTGTGTTCTGTGTTTGTGGTTCATGATGTTGTTTCCCCTTGCAATGGACTTGTTTGTGTCCACTTTGTATCTTGTTCCATGTTGGAGGGAGGGTTTACCAGGCCAAGAAGCATGATAGTTTCATTTAGGATCACGTCTGATGATGCAGTCTGCAGTTTCATGCAGTTTATGAGGTACTGCAGTTTCAGTCTTGCAGTCTGCAGTCTCCAGGCCACGAATCTCCTACTAGTAGTAGAGGTTCCATATGGTACTGCATTCCCATCCAACCTTTCGAAGTTCCCACCCCTCCCTCCCTCTCCCACTAAATTTGGTTGACCCACTGCTATGGTGCCGGGGTCTTCAAACAACATCGCATCATATCACCCATCTGTAGAAACAGTTAGTTGGTTCCTCCGTCTTTGCAGGGACACCAATTGGGTCTTCCAAGCCGATCCGATGCAAACCCTTTCTTTCGTGACGGCGATCCAGCCCCAAGTGTCGCCCAAGTGTCGGTCCATGAACCACCCCCTGGTGGGTCTTGGTTGATGGCTAGGTACTGAGAAGCCGATCCTGAATCCAGTGACATGAAAGCCAAGGATACTTATCAAGTGCAGCTTGGGCCAAAGTGCACCTCCGACATCGATTGCTACACAGGTGGCCCTGTGCCATGGGGGCTGGGATTTGGACGGTTGTGGTGACTTTGAGGCTGTTTTGTCTGTCCAGGTGGATGCATTGACGGGGTTGGCAAACTTAACTGGAACTGCCTCCGCCTCCACCCAGAGTGACTTAAAAGAGGAATCGCAGGACCCTCCACCCAAGGCCTTGACCTTGACAGTCTCAACTCACAACTTCTAGGTTGGAGGCCATCGTTTCTAGGTTGGAGGCCATCGCTTCTCCAGCCTCGGAGGTTGGAGGTACCGGGACGTCTAGATGAGAGGGGATTTCCGGAACTGATGGAGAAGGGGATGCTCGTCGAACGTGATCCGTGCTCCCTGTCGTTCGCATGCTTCGATGTCCAGGCTATCTTGACATTCAATCCCTTCCGGTTGAACTCTGCCCAAATATTGATGGTGCCTTCAGTGCCACCAAGTGTGCGTGTGCACCCTTCAGCGCATGATATACCAGCCCAGTCCTGGCAGTTTTTGGCCACATATGTTTGTCACGAGAAAATAAACATCCCATTCAGCCAAACCTCCCGTTGGCAAGTCTCAGGACGATGCTGTTTTGCCTAACGGCCTTTCGAAACGCAGCGGGTGAATGAACTCTGTACAGCACCAGATCAACAGCAGGCAATATGGGCGATAGGAGAGAGCTTTGGGCCAAAGCCCAACTCTTCCAAACGATGGGTTGACATCCCTGCTCATATTCCATTCTGTTGGTTCTATTATGGAAATCAAGTGCAGTGTTATCTGGTGTTCGTGATGTCCGATCATAAATACCAGGACTTCGACCCCAAAATGCCCGGAGCAACTGATTGGGTAAAACCGCGTTGGGGGCCCGTTTCCTGCCTTTTTGGCAGGACGGGGACCTGAAGGGAACGGACGGCAGCCGCACCTTCAGGTTTAAACGGTTCAACAACCCGAGGAACGACGGACGATCGGAGTTCAACTCACTCCATGGGGCTCTGGCTTTCTGATCCAACCGAAGACATCGCAGGCGAGTGCTATGCACCGGTAAGCAACAGCGGCGGCAGCAGTAGCAGTGGGACCAAGCAGAAGTATTGCAGCTTAGAGTGGCGATGCACAGGGATGGGATCCAAAGCACTAGAAATAATTAACGTTCCAAGTGCACGTCGTTTGAGGGGATTCACAAGAGTTCTGCTAGGAGTCAGCTCCATTATAAAAAGGAATACCCTCCAGGTCGGTGTTTGACCTAAAATCTTGCAGGCGGTGACCAGATGGAGGTTCTGATGATTTCGTTCAGACTCCCTCAAGCGGCATGGGCATCAAAATAGAGTTATTATCGGGAGCAACAAACAATTATGTTTAGGTCACGAGAATGTTCCGAAACCTGTGGCAGAAGATTGGAGAGTTTCATCCTAGCTCATCATTTTGTTGTGATCCAGTAGTATTTGTTTGATCTCTCGGGGATAGTTGCTTTACTACTCCGATTCGATATGTTGTTTTATCCCCTTACCCAGTCCAGCAAGCCGACTGAGGGAACAGAATGGTGGCATTGTCATGTATTGACTGGATCAACCATTTTGTTTAGTTTACCTACTTGGATTGGAGGTAGATGGTTTGAGGACAAGAATGTCCTAGATGGTGAACCGAGTTTCAGGCGCTCAACAGCTATTCAGGCTCATGAGGTATACTGTATTGTAAATCCATATTTGTTTGGTGGACCACGGGACGCTCACAAGTCGTCATTCTAGGGATCAAGGGCCCCCGGGGTGGTGAGAAACTGCACCACGAAGACGTGCGGAAAGCATGACACAAAAAGGATGAACACCGGTACGAAGATGAGGATATCCGACAAGTCCCCTGATCGTTTTTTTTTTTTTAACATCCGACTTGCCAAACTCGTGAGCACATCCAAATTGCAGCGCAAACAAATATAATAAGCTTGAGACCTGGAATATCCTGGAATCAACATAGCAACTCTGACTTTGCAGGATTTCGAGGATTATACGTTTTGATTTTAGCCTGCTGGTTGTTGATATGTTAGTTTTTGGAAGTATACAATTCGGCCTGGCAGGGGTAAATGGCAACTGATTTGATTACAAACAGACAAGGGATTTCACAGTCCATGTTAGTGAGAGTGTTAGTGAGTAGTACGTGTATTACTATAAATTATATATGTTGGATTTTGCAGCATGTTCACCTCCACCGTATTCGGCTAAGGTTGGAAAGTATGACCGAGTAGGAGTCTATGCTTATTGTTTCAATGGCAAACCAACAATGGATCTCGGATTCCGTGTGCAGGCACACTGGGATTTGCAGCAGGGGGGAGTGTTTCAAAAAGATATCACTGCAATTCACTGCATACATACATACATACAGCTACATAGTGTTTGTGCTTTGGGCCTTTTGGTATTGTATTGAGACGTTGGAGTTTATGCCTGGATTTATCCTTCCTTTGTCGTTGAACTGGAATAGGTGTTACCTCAAAAGACTTGTCTCGGAGACGCAGACATTATGCTATCCACTTCTGACAGGAATACATACCGATCCATTGATTGTGATCTGTTCTTCACCCTTCAGTAGCATGAGGTGAGACGGTTCAGTGGTCCTTCACAAAATCAAATCCGTCAGGAAGGTGGTCACAATGTCGATGAACCTCCCATGTCGATGTCCTGTCCACGCTTGAGCAGTGGCAGCTGTACTTGTAAGATATTGTAAGATAAGAGCATTCCAAAGTCAGCGCAATCCGCACCCGTTCGCACTATCTCAGCAGTATGGAGATATCCCCCATACTCCGTTTTGCACGGCTTTGCTTGGGTCTATGTCTTAGGCCACCATGGGCGTGAGCTGTGTAGGATCCATTCGAGCCCGACACCTGGTCCGTTTGAAGAGCACCCGGGCGCGGAGCCCAGGTAAGACACCTGACGAGATGGCCAATCCCAATTGGGGTCAAGCCACATTGACCTGCCTCATTGACAAGTCCATCCCAGATGCTTGGAGGATGTTTCAACATGTTTCAACTGAGGAGGATGTTTCTCTCTTGTCTAGGCAGAGCACGAAGTCGATCGGTCTTCATATGTTCTTTAGTCCGTGTTTCCTTCCGGAAGTCCATCCCTCTTCAGCTTGGCAAGGAAAGCGAACTTTTACCCAAGCGCTGGTGAAGCCGTACTGTTTTGTTTAGGCATTGCACGGCAGCACAAATGTGTTGTTTTGGTTCTGGATCAAGAAGGACACCATGTCTCAATGAACAAATTGGACAAATGTATCCCACTGTGGTCCCTTTTCCCATCATGTGTCTCAAACTCAGCCTTCAGCAACCTGCATTGTTCCCCATCCCCATCATCATTGCTTGTCCATTTTAGTCCCCCTTAGTGAAAAGATGTGAAAAGTAAATGATGCACGTAAGAATCTAGAAGGGCCTGTTTCGCAAGAATCAACGTGTCTATGTTACCCCGCAGGACCTTCCGAGACTTGTTTGCATGCCCAGTGCAGTCTAGTCCAGAGGAGAGCCCGAATCCGAAGTGTCCGAAAACCGTTCGGCGCCTGTGCTTGGTGTGCCCGAATTCCGATCCGATTGATTCTCACTGAGGAACTGAAGGGACGCCACTTGGTGAAGCAGCATGCTAGCCGTTTTGGAGGGTATGTTTCCTGATATGGACGGTGCAGGGATTCTCAGGGCAAACCGTTTTCTTCACTATGCAAGCTACTCTTGAGCCTGTTGCGAAAGGATGCTAGGATTACAACGCCAATTCCAATTGGTATTCGACACAGCTCTCTTGAAACAAACAAACAAGGGAAGTGGGAGCCGTTGCAACCAGTGAACCTTGTAGCAACCCACCAAAGCCTAGCCTCAGTTGGAAGAGGAAGGCCACCAATGCCCAGACATGTTGCACGGTTAAACAGGTTGCCCTTGACACTGCGAAACAAATGTTTCATGTACTGCACTTTCATGCACTACATTTTGGGATCTGGATGAATTCTGTGCTCAGTCTTCGTTTTCTTTTCTCATGTTTGTACCCCGAAAATGACCCTGAAAGCTCGGTCTTCCCGTTTGTTTTCCGTCCATCCCAGGTCTGAAGCTGAAGCTGAAGGTCCGAGGCGATGCCTCTGCTGCAGTGCTGGCGACCAAGTTCTTGGAACAGCCAGGTGAGGTGTAGGGAGCAGATCTGCTTGGACGAGAATGGTGGATCTTTGGAGAACAAGAAGCGGAGAGGATTTGACATCCACGTCTAGAAGGTTTGGTTGGGTTTCTATTTAGTCATGTGGAGAGGTAAGCCCAAAGGCTGGCTGGTGATCTTTTGAGCTACTATGAGCTACTGCCTTTTGTTGATTCTTTCTGGAGCAAGAGTTGAACCAAACGCCACCGAAAGGTTTACCAACGTCCGGCCACTTCACCAGTCCTGCTTTCGCACCGACACCTTTGAAAAATGTCCAACGACACGCGTCTCTGGGGCCAGGCATGATGCGAGAGGAATGCCGTGGGCACGACAACCCACACAGCCGCTACACGATGGAGGATTGCATGGCCGCTGGGCGAGACCGATGGCTCTGGGAAGCGAGTCAAAAAACAGGTCTTTCTTTTTGGACTTCAACGCGAGCGTGTGCATCCTAAATAGGGCGGCGCTACAATCCATTTCCAAGCGGATTCTTTCAAGAAAAAACATCCTGGTGCTTTTGATGGTCCGCATTCCATTTAACGTAGACTCTTGATGAATAAAACCCCTCTACTACCAGAATGCGTTTACGATTTTGTACATCTTCCTGCTGGACTTGTCATGGTTTCTTCGTCTCCAAGCAGTGTCCACCGTGTCCGGGATGTCCGGTGCCGAGGCGCCCAAGCAGTGTAACTACGATGGCACCTCGGCGACAGGCGGTGGGACCGGCGGCTGGCGCCGTTCGAAGCTCCGATGAAGCAAACAGTGGGAACTTGGGGAAGCAGAAGGTATAGCATGCAAGGGGCGGTTGTCATGCGAGAGATTTAGGAATCCGAATCCGGGTCGCCCTTCCTCCTGGCCTCCGCCTCGTTGGCTTGAAGCTGAAAGTATCACTTGGTTCTGGGGAATGCTTCATGGCGACCTTAACCTTGGGCTAGTTTCAGATGAGCAGAGAATCAAATTGGACTTATCTGTGTATTTAGAGACAAGGAGTCGAGGAGGATCCATGAGGTTTGAATAGATTTTGTTTCAAGCTTTTAAACATGTAGCTAAGATTTACTGTACACCTATTGTGTGATTGAGGTCACTTATTGCATTCATGTGGATGTGTGCTTGGGCCGGGACACGAGCAAAGTCACTCCCCAAAGCGAACGAACAACGCCAACATGGAACGTAAATCTGAAATAAGATAAAGGCGCACTCGGTTTTGAGTCTGCAGAGCTTGCATGTTTTTCCGCCCGCATGTCTTCCCCGTGGCCAGTTTTCCACCTCGCTGAGGGTCCATTAGCAACGAAACCGAGTGCTTGAACCCATGCGAAGATGCTTGGCGAATGGATCGTCGAAGAACTGAGAACGGTTTCTGGTTTTCGGGGTGCCCCACTCAAAATTCAAGTGGACGATGCAGCAAATCCTGTACTTGAATGTCCCGTACATGTACAGTAACTGTACATTGACATGTTTAACCACTTTCGCATTCACATGCAAATCTTCAGTCTTGCCATGTCCTGCCTTGGTTCTTTCCGGATGCACACAAAAATAAAACAAAACAATTTGTTGCAATCTTTTCGAATACCAAGCCATCGATTAGGATATCCTCGCATGTCCTCAAGCATCAAAGGATGATTAAGGTAAGAAGTTAACCAATGCTTCAATTTGCTGCATCTGTGCTGTCATTGTTTTTCCTTGCATCGACGACCACCATGACAACGACAACGAAGAGCAACAGGCATTACCAGCATGCCGACAATCACAGTATGAATCCATGCACCTAGACTCCAACTACCATCGAAGCACCATGGGCAAGTATATATACCATCGAAGCACCTGTGAGACCATCGGCGTCATGCCCCCGCAATGTAGTGGTACAAACTGGAGGGTCCAGGTACACTTCCGATCTGACGCCCTCGTTTTCTTCGCTTCTGCCCGTGGGCGCTTAGCAGCGGAGCGCGGTATCTGCCCAAGGAAGGTGACGTGAGCTGCTCCGGCTACTGCGGCCAGGGCAACTGGGAGGCGAACGGAGCACCGGGCGACCGTCGGTGTTGGGATGACAACGACAGAAATTCATTTGAGGCACCTTTCGAAAGGATCTTGAAAAGGGAGAGGAGTTGAAGATCCAAGGCTCGATGGTTGACCCCACTTTTGCTCCCTTTTTCCTCTCCTAATCATCCGATCCACCTTTTGCAATTTTGGGCACGAAAGGGTGCTTTTTTCTTGTGAGCCGCGATGAGCAGCGGGTGTCTTTTCTTCTTGGCTCGTTGGTCCCGCGGGAGGCCATCCGGGTCAGCCAGGTGGTCGTCGGGTCGTCCGTGGTCCGTCTCAGACTGGTTGGGCCCAAAACAAGGAGATGATGGAGATTCCACATTCAGTTTGTATAAGTCTGGGTGGTGAGGTTACAGAAATCATTTGAAACATGTTTTAACTTCTAAAACAGGTCTATGTAAAGGGTCCCTCAACCAAGTCCTTAAAGAAAAATCGCTTCTCGCCAAGCATTGTGAAGCATAACATATTGAAACAGCACCCCCAGACCTGTGGAGATGGGGCAGTGGATTTTGCCGGACCTCGAGACGATTCGTTCCACCGAGCGATTCCTTAAAAGAGTAGCGTCCAATCGCTCCTAGAGGGGCGATGCCCTTGGTTCTGAGTTAAGAAGTGCATCGCTACGAGTAACAAGCGTTAATGAGGGCATTACTAAGTGGTAGCAAGAAGCTATACTAGTAGCTCCTGGCACTACTACTGGTAGCAAGAAGCTACTAGTACCAAGGGCCCAGGTTTCTTCCACTTAAATCTCGGACTCCTGGAGATCCGACCGACCGGCACCCTGTGGGGTTGCGGACGCATCGCGTGGCAGGTGGGCGAATTGCCACAGTGCATTCCCAAGGGCATCTTGGCAGGTCATCGGTGGCCATCGGCGGCCGAGCTCGGAGAGCTTCCAAGCTCGGAGAGGGCTCGCGGCTCTGGTTCAGGAACTCCTGGCCAGCTCGCACCAGTTGGTTGAACCAAGACCACACACCTGGAGAACCCCAGTCGCTCAGCGTGGTGGCAATCAAAATCCATGGTTTATGTAAGCTCATGATCATGTTCTCCTGCACCAGTTGGTGCAGATCAGTGAGCTGTTCGTCGAACCTTTCCGGACCTCTTGGGTGGTGCAGGAGAATGTGTCAGGTGGGACCCCCCAATGAGCTCCTGAGCGATTCGTTTGCTTTATGGAGATCGGTGGTGTTAGAAGATATATCAGCAGCCAAGCAAAACATATATAATATGGTTCTCTTCAGCCAAGGCCCAAAGAGCCAGCAGAACACGAGAGCTCAGCAGCTTTGTGCCAGAATTATTTTGTTTTGCTTAAGCTCATGACAGCCGATCAAAACTGTTTACTAGGAGAAACACATGCTCGATCGAAACGAACACCACCACACATGCAGCCGCAACATCACGAGTCGTGTAAGACGATCTACCTGCAGTTGATGCCCAGATTCAATCATTCCATGGTCAATCACTGGGTCCAGACATGTTCCATCCTGGGTTCCTGGGTTCATTGAAATCCCACCAAAAACTCCACCTCAAACCACGAGACCAAGTCGACCAAGTCTTGGGTGGGCCTATGGCTTCTCCACAAAAACATCTCTGCCAAAACCACCAGCTATCAGCCGATCAAAGAGTCAGTCTCTTTGGCTTGGGAGGACTGAGCACTCTTCCTCGTGGAACAAAACCCCCGTCGCGACTCCGCGCACGGGCGCGTTCGCCTTTGGCGTGCCATGTGCGGGGCGTTCGTTGTCTTCGCTGGCTGCACCACAGCGAAGCCCGCGAAGCGATCCGCGGGCAGATGCCGGAGTTCTCGGCGCAGCAGGCGGAACAAGCGGAACAACTAATCAACTAATCATCCATCGACTTCTGCAGGTCTGGATGAATTTAAACCGAATTCATCATTGAATCCTCAAAATGGGTTCTATGGGAGCACGTCGCCTGCATGTTCGACTGTGTTTCTTTTGTTGGTAGAATACATGACATGTCATGACATGTCTTCTTTTAGGTAGATCATTCTGATCATTTCCACAGCCGTCATCCCGTCCGCTGGGTCTCCTGGGTCGGGCTGAGCTCGGACGGGTGGTGAAGGAATCTGGAACCGTCGAAGGCATGACACCTTGAAGGCATCGAATGACCAAATCCGAAGACAAACAGGTTGTTTTCACTCCAGAAAATTCGTGAGGATTCGAGGGAGTGTACTCAGTGTACTCCTACCTTTTGTCTTTTGGCTGTCATACTCTGTGGAAAGATGTTATTTCGTCCGCCCAGCAGCTGGGCACCATAGAAAGGGGCCCATATTATAGTTTTCTTGAATTTGGACGTCCTTGCGTGTGCCCAACAGTTCTCAGATTTTATTCCTGCAGATCCTGCGGCTGTGCTCCCACTTCCATCGAGCCTTCCTGCAGAAAGACAAGGTGCGGCATGATGCATTGGAAGATTTCCGGCACCAACAGAATATGCACCAACAGAGATGTAACAAGCGCGAGCTTGGCAGGATTTCTTTCTCCGTGCCACCAGTTTTGGTACTGAACATAATTCCTGGAGAGGGTGGTAGCCTTCAGGGCAGTTCGACCACCAAAACGGCTTTTGCACCTGAAAGATGGGAAGCTGGGAACCTGGGAACCTGCAATTGATTGTCCGAAGATCCTCACCAATGGATCGAATCCCCGAAGCTCAGTAACTATATATTGCAACAGAACGGACCCCGAAGCCAGTCTGTTGAGTTTGGGGGATAAAGAGTCAGCTATCAGCTATCATTCACTAACTTATGCACTTCGGAGGAGTTGGAACTGACCCCCCTTCAGTTAGCAGCTGGTGCGGTCCTTGTAGGGATCCATCTTGTATGTCGTCATCTAGTCTATCCACCCAACGGTGCTTGCTCCTAGTAGCGATGCTCCTAGTAGCTTCTTGTTCCTAGTAGTAAGGCCAGGAGCCCCTAGTAGTGTCCTTGCTCCTAGTAGCGATGCCCTTTGTTACTAGCAACTTCTTGCTACTAGCCTATCCAACCACCCACTCAGGGGCAGCTGATCGCGCTGGCCTCCGAGCTCCAGCGACACGGGCACCTGCTGCGGCCCGCCGAGGCGGTGTGACGATCTGCGCCGAGTGTTCTCTCCAACGGTTAGGGTATGGTACAACACGCTACGGCTATAACCATGTTCAGTTCAGTTCATGTGTATTTTGTCTTGCGGGTCTTTGTTGCAATTGGTGCATGGTGGTGGCCGTGCTTTTGTGGCTTTTCGTTGTTGCTTCTACTGCAACATGTCTTCTTTGGCCTACCGCCGAAGGATTCTGACGCAGGAGATTCATTTGACATACTCCTTGAGAATTTTCAGAGGATCCTTTCCAACTACTGTATCTCCGTTTCTGGCTGTATCAACAAGGTGCAGTCTCCCCGAAGTTCTTCTTTGACAAAGTTGCTCCTATCATGCATCTTTTTAGTCCAAATATCACACTTGTTCAGTCCGTTTCGGACAAAGATTTCGGTGCTAAGTCTAAGGATGTCTAAGGCTCTAAGGATGTCTTCCATCCTTGGACTGGGCCCCACAGCCGAACTGGCAGATTATACAACTGATGTGATTAAGCAAGTCAAAAATATGTCCTGGGTATATATACAAATAATAGAGCTGACTAATCATCCTCATCCTTTGCTTCAAGAATCTAATACGTTGATATACGATGTACATCCACCATTTGTCCACTATATATCCTATATGTGCTTCATGGCGAAAAAAATAACATTGCTTGCTTGCTTCCGCGCTTGCTGCGTTCATGCAAGTTCCAGATCCATGTGGCCCCTTTCATCACTTCTCGTGTTGAGGTGTCGATGGCCCTGAATCACTTCGCACACTCGAAGATCCTGGATGAAGCCCTTTGGACGACCTTCTCAGAGACTCTCATCCAGGCCGATGAGTGATGCAACGACGCCGTTATTTTGCACGCGATTGGCTGACACATCATGGGGGAGGATTTGGAATACGGCCACACGGAGCACCGGTGGCGTTGGGGAAAGCATGTTGATTTCGTTTAAGACATTGCAGGAGGTGTGTTTCCTTCAGAATGATTCAATGGATCAATCATGATCCATAGTTTGTCTTGAAGCAAACCAAGACTTGTATGTTGATAACAGCTTCAGACGGTTTTGGATAAACACCTCCGCAGCAAGAAGATCTTTAAGATTGTCGCGGGATTTCAAGACCTAAGCCATCCTTAAAAGCAGATGTTCATGGACATCCCTCAAACAACACCCAACACATCCCTGAAAGAGTTTCCAGGTTGCTCAGGTTTGTGCATCGGTCTGTAGTTGGACAAGTTAGAATGCAGAACGTGATTATATCAATCCGAGAATGTCGGATATATGATATATCGGCTTTTGGATTATAAAACTGGGTGCTTAGATCTTAGATCAGATCCCTTCACCTCGACATACCTCGGCTCATCCATCAGAGACCCCCCCACGTGGTGGAAACAGCAGGAGCCCAAGGTTGTCCAGGTGAGATGAATCAAAGCCTGAAGGTGGCGTAATTCCTTTCAGATTTGCACCACGCGTCTCAATATCTTTCTCACTGCCGACCCGGCTTTCAGGGTCGCTGGGACGGAACGACCAGGGTAGAAAGAACGACATCCGCTCTGGTCGATGCTTCGGTCGAGCGGAAGTCTCTTCGCTCTGCCAGTCGTACATCGAAGTAGATTGCAAAGCGCTCGGACTGGCAGAAACTCGGCGTGGCAGCATGACTGACAGGTCAGTCGTAACGCTACAAACGAGTTTGCCGGCTTTTGTTTATAACCAAACGGCCCAGTATAAGGCCCAACGAAGGAGAACCGGTTTCAACCTTGAAGGTCTTGTTCAACTCCAAGCCCTTGTGGAACATTGCCTGTATTTGAGCCATGACATGTGGAATGGCTTTATAATGTTTTATAGAGTTTTGTATATATAACATGTTTTGAACAGGTTCCGAAGGCGTGGCAGGAACGTCCGACAGGTCAGTGGAAATTGGACGTCGACGCTTGGATGACGTCGGGTAGAGACGGTCGGCGTGGACGTCTTCTGAAAAGGAGGCGGTCTACGTGGACTGGGTATTGCGGATCGGTTGGGACACTACTTCCCAGCTGGGTTTGCACACGGCACTCTGTCCAGTTTGGTCAACTGGTTTTCCCCAGATCCAGTGGTCAAGTTGTCATGCCTTGTTGCTACAAAAGTGACCTTGTGCTTGGTCTTTAATGTGTCATTCAACTCAATGGAGCTCAGGAAGGTGAACGTTGGAGGCGATCGATGACTGAGTTCTTTCAATCGCTCCCCTCACAGCCAGACAGAGTCACATATAGAATAGAGGACGTCCCAAAACAGAGCTGGTTTCACTGCGATCGTTTTGATTTGTTTTGGATTGGACTCTTTATTTGGTTAACGTGGGAACCCGTTCATGTGACAAACAGTTCTTTCCTTTCCTCCCAACCGGATGCGCATCTCGATGCTGGAGCTCATCTGAGGCCAACGCCTATGCCCGTGCGATGCTGCAGCATGAGGAGACCTTGACGTTCCTAGCACGTCAGGCGCTGAAGCCTGCAACAAGTTGCATGTGATTGGGGCTGTCTCAGCATGCAATAGACACGGAATCACATGAACATACATGCCGCTAAATCATGAACATTCGTGAACCATTGTGGACCTATTTTCTTTCCGGCCTCACAATTTGACCTGTTTAGACCGCTGAACAGTCCTTTCGAGTAGTCACCCATTCCGAGTCGTTGATTCCCGCCCGCACCAGGTAGAGGCAGTGGCTTGGAAAGGGCAGATGGAAGCGCGGAACCTGGTCGGGACGCTCAGGCGGCATAGCCGCGTGGTCGGGACGCTCAGTCGGCTTCCAACGGCCATCGGTGCGGACCGTGGAGTTCGGCATTTGAACACGTTGTGTTTATCATGTGATCAGTTGGAGGTTCGCTTAAGCGGCCTTGCCACCAAGGGTTTCGACCGACTGCATTTGGAATCCATTGGACGAAGGATGAAGGCATTGGGGAACGATATTCTGAACAGGCCCTGTACAAGCTGGTAAATGCAAGAATTCAAGTGACACAAGTCATTATACGTCCGCAAAATCAACCTGTGGACTTGTGTGTGTTGCTCACTCTTGCAGCCATGGCACTGGTTGGTCTCAGCCTCTCTAGTTGTCCCACAGGGGAGTGCATCCCGATCGTGGAATGCGCAGGTGTAGTTATGACATGTTGTGAATAACACAGAGCATGTGCCAATTCACCCGAATTACAAAATAGCAAGTCTCCAAAACCGAATCTAAACTCAATCCAAAGTTTGTGTGGGTCAGTTACCTGGGCTCACTGAAATAGCATTCCCCAGATGATGGACATTTGGATGCATTTCAGGGGAAGCTGACCTGCAAACATGTGAGAACCAATACATCAATATATATATATATTATAGTAGCTTCAGAACAGATGGCACAAACCCAAATGTCTTTTATATGGGGGTCCATATAAACCACCTTTGGGGGATTGCGCCATCTACTCTGAAACCACTGTAATTGTATAACCAATATATTATCACATGTATAAAAACCTTTACAGTTACAAAGCATCCCAAAGGAGCCTCCAGTTCGATGTTCACGATGTTCACGCCCTCGGGCGGCCGAGGCAATGGTGGTGAATGCTTTCTCCAAGCTCCGGCGCAGGGAGCGATGGGCCCGGTCGACTGGTCGGGTGAGGTTTAAACTAGTGCGGCTCAGGTCGACAGAATGGAAGACGACCAGTGGTCATCCTCAAGTTGGAACAAGGTCTTGCCACATCCTCCAAGCAAATGCAGACAGCCGAGCCCTGAGGTTCTCCGGGGCAGCACATCAATTGGAGTACCATACCGATGTTTTTGAGCCTGTCTGCGTTTCTGCATGTCTTTCACAGTTGAGTCGGTGGTGTTGGTAATGGACCAGAGAGGCTCTTTAAGGCAAGTGCTAGGTGATGACAAACCACTGGAAACTCTTTCTCTGTGGATGGGCAGAAGCGGTCTTACCCTGGTTGCTTGTTCAAAAATATTGTTTTTGCGAGTGTTCGGGGTCTGGAAGCAGGAAGCGCACAGACATTAATGTTTAGAATCAGATATATAACTGCCTTTGTTGGGTTCATAGTTGGACATTCCATGTTCTCATCACCTGAAATTACACGCATTCTTCACTGGCAGCACAAGTGTTCCGAATGTGTTCACATATTTGCGACAAAGGATGTGAGCAGCACATACCGACAGACCATGAGAAGGGAAGACAGAGAATGACCTGGCAAGATAGACAAGCGGTGCTCAAAGGGTAGAAGGCAAGAATTCGAAGCAGCAACTTTGTAGGCAAACTTGACATGACAAGGCTCCCGGATCCACCTCTTCTTGCGTCAGAGCTTGCACAACCCAATCAATCTCAGTCAAATTGCCTCCCATCCAGGATATGGAACACATGCCAGGCGAAGAAGTATGATCAACTCCAAAGCAATGCCACAGTGGTATTGGGATACGGATACGGTCAAATTCATGGAAGCCAAAATACAATGTAAGTCCCCAAGAGTTGTTCACTCTTGACTCTTGACCATAACCTTGAGTCACAAGTCAGGAGTCAGGGGATTAACAAACATGATAACAAAGAATATGGACATGATTGTGACGATGATTATGAGGAGTCATAATGTTGATGACCATGCTACTAAAGACACACATTGTGATGATGATGACGACGATGATTGTTATTCCTATTATAGATGTTGGTGCTGATGCTGCTGCTGCTGCTGCTGCTGCTGATGATGATGATGATGATGATGATGATGCTGATGCTGATGCTGATGCTGCTGATGATGATTATTGTTATTAGTATTGTTGTTATCATTACTAGCATGATTATTATCATGATTATGATGATGATTCTGATCATTATGATCATGATGATAATGCTGATGCTGATGCTGCTGATGATGATTACTGTTATTATTATGGTTGTTATTATTACTATCATTGTTATTATCATGATTATGATGATGATTCTGATGATCATTATGATCATGATGCTGATGATGATGCTGATGCTGCTGATGATGATTATTGTTATTATTATTGTTGTTATTATTACTATCATGATTATTATCATGATTATGATGATGATTCTGATCATTATGATCATGATGATAATGCTGATGCTGATGCTGCTGATGATGATTATTCTTATCATTATTGTTGTTATTATTACTATCATGATTCTTGTCATGATTATGATGATGATTCTGATGATCATTATGATCATGATGATGATGCTGATGCTGCTGATGATGATTATTGTTATTAGTATTGTTGTTATCATTACTAGCATGATTATTATCATGATTATGATGATGATTCTGATGATCATTATGATCATGATGATGATGATGGTAATGACAGATTCGACCTGACGTGGACCGCTTCTGAACCCCTCCCCACCCATCCCCCCACCAATTTAATATATATATATAATCAAATTGGATGAAAACTTCTAGACGATGACAGGTTCGATCAAACGATGACAACTCCTATCCGATGACAGCTTTGACCAAACGGTGAGAAATATACCAGCATAGACCCCAAACAGTTTCAAAACGATTCGTTTGGACCAATATTCGTCAAAACCAATTTCTTGTTACGGCCTACCTTCCCGTCCCAAGAGCAAACTGCTTTATCAATGATTTTTGTCGGCATCAACATCGCTAATTGTTCGGCCATAAGAGAAGACAAGAGAAGAGAAGACAAAAGAGGAGAACAAGACCCGGTCACAGAGCCCGGCCACAGAGTTCAGGGGCGCCAGTCAGTGTGGCCAGCAAACTGGTGATATTTTGTCCTGAGGAAACTTGTCATAAGGACGCTTCTGTCTCCGGAACCTCATGTCATGTCATGGAGGGATTCCAGATAAATACATACAGTAAATAAACGAGGTTGCGTGCAACAGTGAGCCCCTTGTCTTTCACCCATTGCCCCCTCGTGCTCCCTAGATTCCCACCTTCATCCATTGCCCACCTCATGGCCTCTTCATTCCCTCCCTTGTGTTTTATCAATTTCTCGGTTGTGCCCCCTTCCTTCCCCCCTTCATCCATTGCCCGCCATTGCCCCCTTCGTGCACCCTTCATTCCACCATTCTGTTTTCCGTTGCCCCCTCGCGCCCTTTCATAATTCCTCCGTCGTGATTCATCCATTGCCCCCTCGCGCCCCTTCATTCCCTCCCTTGTGCTTCATCCGTTGCCCCCTCGTACCCCTTCATTCCCTCCCTTGTTTTTCATCCTTGTGCCCCCCTTCATTCCTTCCCTTGTGTTTCATCCGTTGCCCACTCGCGCCCCCTTCATTCCCTTCCTTGTGTTTCATCCATTGCCCCCCGCGTTTTGTTTCATCAATTGCCTTCTCCTGTTCCCCCATTCTCCTCCTTGTGTTTCGCGCCCCTTCATTCCCCCCGCTGTGTTTCATCAATCCCCCTCGTGCCCCTTCATTCCTCTCCTTGTGTTTCATCCATTCCCCCCTCGTGCCCCTTCATTCCCCCCATTGTGTTTCGTCAATTGCCCCCTCGTGCCCTTCATTCCTCTTTGTGTTTCATCCATTGCCCCCTCGTGCCCCTTCATTCCTCTCCTTGTGTTTCATCCATTGCCCCCTCGTGCCCCTTCATTCCTCTTTGTGTTTCATCCATTGCCCCCTCGCGCCCCTTCGTTCCTCCCCTTGTGTTTCATCAATTGCCCCCTCGTGTCCCTTCATTCCCCCCATCGTGTTTCATCAATTGCTCCCTCGTGCCCCTTCATTCCCGCCCCGTTGTGTTTCATCAATTGCCCCCTCGTGTCCCTTCATTCCCCCCGTTGTGTTTCATCCATTTCCCCGTCGATTTTGGGAACATTGACTTTCCTATACCCTAAGGAGCCTGTGGATCCACTCCCGTCTTCGTCTTGAGTTTTGCAGGCAGTCTATAGGTGATCAGGTTATCCATCGGGTGTGTGCAAACCATAGGCAGATTCGCGTTTTTGACGGCATGCTAGCGAGGATGTCACTCTCCAAGGCATTCATGTTTGCCCAGGCATTTTCTGCGTTTCTCAATTCTGACATGACATTGGTGCAGAAATAGACCCTTTTTGAGCGACTAACTTGGTAAGTCCACAATTTATGTTTTTTTATGATGTAACCTTTGGTTCTTGATCACCGGTTTCGCCAAGAAACACAAATTCACCCCAGAGTAAACTGTGGGAGTGGGAATTTTTGTTTGGTTTTGGTCACAAATTTTTGCAGGACGAGGAGTTGATGGGCGCCATCAGTTTCCAGTTGAAGTCTTCGGCCCGCGCCCTGCCGCGACCTGAGTCGTCGGAGCTTCGTATAGCGTCGATCCAAACCCTGAGCCTGAAGCCATGATGGAAATGTCTTGAATTAACTATCTTGATGACTCTGTGAAATGGGTGCAAGAGATCAACGAAACGTTTGTGTCCGAAGATGTTTTTTGTCCGAAGTCCTGTGTGATCTGTGTGCCGCAAGCGTTTCTATTATCCAAACGGCATAGGCCCAGCCACACCAAAATGCACGAGGAGGGGAACAAACGAGAAAACATATGTTTAATGATGTTTAATGTACGTATAACTAATTACATAACAAACATGACAACATGTTTTTTAATGTATACCGTATACACAAACAAACAAAACAAAAAAGGCTCAGAAAAGTCTCAAGATCTACCTTGAAATGTCCGAACCAACCTCCCGGCACCTCAAAGGAATGCTGTGGATCTGGCCACCGCAGGGTTGCCCAGAGATTGTTGGAGAAACCAGCCAGTCGGCTGGCTTAATCACGAAGAAACAAATATAGTTATACCAAGACCCACTGTCGGGGTGGTTGATGGACACCCCTCAACATCCAAAAACCCTATCAATGGAAACCCCTTAAGGTGTCCTTGTAAACGCTTATATGATATTATGAATATGGATGTGTTTTACTCTACAAACGCACCTTTTTCTTGCAATTCAATTCAAGAACGTTCAAACGCCTTGAAGGCAAAACCTCGCTCTCTTGCCCTGCTCCTGGTGTGTTGTCCTGCCAAGGGTCCCTGGCCTCCAACCTGTCATTCTGGTCCTCCCCTGACATAATGCATTTACTTTTTGCAATTTTTGCTCAATCTTGTCAGACGGTTTTTTGTGAGACGCAGAAGCACCGGACCTACAATTATATACAGTGCTTTCAGATGGGCATCCATATAAACCACCCAACTTGGGGATTGTGTCATCTACTCTGAACCCGCTGGCAAAAGGAGGTTCAGTTCGCCCTCAAAAGGTGGATGATGGTGTGAGATTCGAGAGCCAACTTCACAGCCATGGATTGCACCCACTTCCAGGGACAACTACACCAAAATGCAGAAAGGTACAAACAAACACATGTACATGAACTGAATGTTGACGTCCAGCTCATGAATGCAAGCTTGCACTCTTCCTAGCTAGCTGTGGATTGCCATCTTGGCGCCGCAAATGAATTGGCCATCATCGCCGCCCATGGAGATCACTCGTCCCAATCCCGCTTTCTTGTTTTTGTTCCTCCCCTACTAATCAATAGCAAACATTGTTACTACTAGTAAGGCACCTGTTACTACTAGCGTGGCACTTGTTCCTAGTAGCAAACCTTGTATAGGGCCCCTTCGTCTTTGGGGCCCGGATCTTCCGCTCCTTCACGTTGTTCGCCGCCGAGGTGGCCAATGGTTATGCACGCTTATGGCTCCACGACGCCGAGGTCTTTGAGGCCATGCAGGAGAAGTGGCGTTTGGGCCGTGGCCCAGTTCGGGTGAGGTGAGAGCTTGGTATAGGTGATCCACGGCTGTGGAAAAACAGCAGCCTTTTATTTCCGAGAGCTTGGTTGAGAAATTCTTTTGGGGGGGCTGAGAGGTTGGTTGAGAGACCTCAATCAATCCAGGTTACATGAGGTTTTGGATGAACAATCAACAGCCAACAGAACAGTATGGTTACAGCCAGGAACGAGACAGAACAAGCTCCCCGGATCGACATATAGTGAATTGCCATAACTGCTTATTGTTTCTACTAGCTTCTTGTTACTACTAGTAAGGCACTTGTTACTACTAGCGATGCACTTGTTACTAGTAACAAGACTATGTAATTACATCGCAGTTGTAGTACTGTATATTTATAGTGTTTTCACGTTTATATGTTATTTCAGAGCAGAAGCATGTCTACAAAAAAAACACACAAAAAAACAAACAAAACAAATAGAATCGTAGTTAAAACAATCAAAAAACGATCATATATGAAACCATATAACATATTAATATATCATAGATATAATATGCGATTCGCCTGTGCCAATGATTGACGCCTGGATCGACGTGCGGCGGGGTTTCAGGAGCCGCTGATCGACGCCTTGCCCAGCTGCAGCATCCAGAACCTGGCGATGATCGCACATGTGGGGACCGCCGAGGATACCTTTTTGACAAGATTTCTGGAGTGTGGGGTGGGGTCTTTGTTTGGGAGTCACTTATCCAAATGGGCGACTTCCACAAAAATGTGCTGAAATTTTATCTCGTTCCCGGCCCATCACAAGGCATTTGCAATAACTTCTGATGGCAGTTTTGCACCCCGTAGGACACTGATGTAGCATCATCCCAGAGTCTATGTTTAAACCTAAAATGTATGTGTATATATATACACATAAGTTTGGAGAGCTTCAAATTACATTGATGTCATTCACATCGGGGAAACTCACAGAACCTCACCAAATCTACAGGTAAAATCGTTTTGTTCTTTCAGGTGTCAGATCTTCCAACAAGACTTGTTCAACAACCTTCATGTACATACATGTTTGTAGTTACATGTATTTACATATTCCCCAAGCCATTATACATTACTACGGAGTCCAGTTGACGTTGTGTGTTGAGAGCAGAAGAACAAATTGAAGCATTTGCGGCCAAGTCGATCGGTTTGGGGACCGCCATCCACGCCAAAGTTCAAGCTTCGGGATGACGGACACCATCGACTGGAGGGTCAAGGATTGGCAGCACACGTTCCATCCCTGAATGGGTGGTCCTTGCTACTGTAGGCTAAGACTGGCCTCCTGGGCTGGCTGGCTGCTATCTGTGGATTTGAACTCTTTAGGGGTGGTACTTGGTCATGACCTTGAAACGGCCAGATGCTTTTTTTCAAAACTTGTAGCTCAAACAAAGAGGCTTCCTCAAACAGCTCGTCTATATACATAGGATATTCTCTACAGTCAGAATTTGTAGATTCGACCTGGTGTACTGTGCCAACATTCTTGTCCATCACCCAACTTTGGGGGTGTGGGTTCTTCAATCCTTGGTCATGCCATTGGGGTGCCATGGCCACTGCTCCTATTGGTAACTGTTATAACCGTTCATTGCTCCAGCAGCCGGCGATTGGTCACTTTCGCCCATCTCGACCGGTATGGCCTGGTGAAGGGGGCAAAGATGTAGACGGATATGACCTGACTGAGATGGTTTGGTTAGTTACAGATGTTCACAATTTCTAGGTGTTTAGTTTTGTATTGCTAACGTGCGCACACCAAGGCTGGAGCCTTCAGACCGGGCTCCAGTGGTTCCTGTCCAGCTGAACAGCTGAACGTCACCAAAATGAGAGGTGAAAGGATGTAAACAGATCAGGCTCAGGCGGGCGTTTGAACAAGATCCCGCATCGGTCAGGGTCGGGCGACATTGCAAGCGGGATCAACCACCTTTCAGTTAAAACAAATCAAGGCTGAAGAGCGAAGACCCCAGCCAACCGAACCGTCAAACAACGAAGCATCCGAGTAGCATGTTCAGATGAGGACGAGCCGACACATTGACATGCCAATTTCGAAGTGTGTGGCTCTTGCGCGAAGCACCTCCAGAAAATAGTCGAAAAAGACCATGTGCAAGGCATCGATGAGCCTTGCCAGTTCATGTGCCTTGATCAGCCTGCTGTCGGCATCACTTGCAAAGCTCGGGCATGAACTGGAAAGGAACAGCTCTATTCGATGAAACCCTATACATTACATCTTCGGGGCTGAATTGAGCTACCACGTCCGCCGGCATGGTTCAGGCTTGACAGATGCCGTTGGCCTGACGTCGGTTGCTTAAGGAGAGCTGGAGAGCGAAGTGGAAGTAGTGATGGTCACTGACGAGCGAAGGCCAAGCTTTCACTCCGATGGCGCCATTGTCATGGCGCATGCTGGCGCATGGCGCATGCTGGCATTCGCATGGCGGGAAGAACTACAGCCATGTTTGGTCCCATCAACGATCAACGTTCTGGTCCAACGCGAGGGCTGGACTTCCCGAAGTTGAGCACTGGCCATTCTCGGACGCCTTCGTCTAAGACTTCCGCCAGTGACGCAGCTGTTCGCTCCCAGGCAGTTCCGGCGTGCAGCCCTTCATGCCCGGCCACTGTTCGCTCTCGCAAGGATCCGCGACCGGCCACTGGGACACGCCTGACCGCATCACTCACCCGAACCATTTCAAAGCGACTTCGTGTTTTGGCAGTGCCTTTTCTTGGTCAAGTTAGCGTCTACTCATCATCCACAGGGGTTTTCCTGATGGGTTCCACCCAGTTCGCCTCACACAGCTGTGGTTCCTGTCCCCCGGCCGCAGGCCTATGGCCGCTTCTTCCGCCGCGACGAACCTTTGCTCTTGGCCCTGTGCCGGCAGTTGCTGGAGCGTCAGCGGCGCTGTGGGGAGGCGGGACAGAACGGCCGGGAACGGATGGCGCAAAGTCTGGAATGGATCAGAACAGGCTTAATACGGATGTTTGGTTTGAATCGAAGCCAAATAGCAAGACCTGTTTGGAGAACAGCACCTGGATTTTGATGGTGAGCCTTCGGCGGAGTCGTGTAAAGTTTTGTGTACAACAAAACATGTCATATCATTTCATCACGTGGCTCCACGCCACTTGAGTCATAATCAGCTACAGTTACAGCTACTGGTTTCGAAGGCATATTAACAGACGTTAGATCATGTGAGAACCTTCAAATCAAGTGGAAACCCCAATTGATTTCAACAAAGGGTCGGTTAACATCGAATATGATTTGTTCCCTTACGTAGCGTTAAGAAAGTTCTGAATCGGCTTGAAAGCTGATTTGACGGCAACAATTCCCAAGAAGAAGTTTTGGGAAATGGTCCAAAGAACAGTTGCAAATCCTGCACCACGATGAGGGCAAGCAAAAGAAACGTACACACGCATCTGGTACGAAAACCGACGCTGGCGTGGTGGTGTTGCTTCTTTGGTCCTTTAGGGTATCACCCCCTTCTCAGTCGACTGTACATTCCATCACCACGAGAACGTGAGTGCCCAGGAACGGGCAATTGCAGGGCCAGGACTCTGACCAGATTTTGGGGATTTCCACCTACAATGACTTCCTAGTAGTCACGACTTCTGCCCAGACGATGAAGTTTTGGTCCACATTCATGGAAAGTCCGCTTCACTTTGATGCAGGCCAAAGAATGCAACCATCCATATATCCATGGGCCGGGACACTTCTAGCTAACCCAGTGGCACAGGCAGGACTTCATGTGGTGGCTACATTGAATAGCCTTGAGTACACGCATGAGCCCGATGCTGCAAAGTACCAGGTTGGACCGTAGTATCTTGGTCACTCACGCATCGAGTTGCGATGCCTTGATATGGGTATCCCGCTCTTTGCTTCCTAATGGTGCGGGCAGCCTGCCGGTTGGTGCATGCAATTCCTTCGTGGTGCCCAATACCTACGACAAGTAGGAAGTAAGTGGTGGTGGATACGCAAGCTTGGCAAGCACACCTAGAAAGGTGCGCTGGAGGCCAATTTCGGGCGCATTCACATTCGCTCCGGTTCCTATTTGAAGCACTATCACCCGCACCACTTGACTTGATCGGCGAGGGTGACCTTGAGTACTTGGTTGGGTGCATCACCAATTCAGTCACACACATCAAGGTAGGGAAGTGTCCACACTGCTCGGGAATCCGAGCCGCAAGGTAGCTGGAGCAAACCTACCAGGAATGCGTGCGGCCACGGAGGAGCCACAACATCTCCTGCCCCGTTCCCCACAGTTCACTCGATTGTGAACGGCATGCGGGCATGAATTGGTGCCCCATCAGTGCGAGATTCAGCTGTAGCCGCCATTGAAGAGCGCATGCGACCACCAGCACATGTCAAGCACACATTGCCACCACCTGGTGCTCATAGCACCGCACAAAAGTGATGCTGGCCATCCATGACAGTGCTCACTGACGCTCTTGCGTACGGGGAAGGGGGAGCTGCCGTGCAGCAAGGCGCTGAAGCGACGTGACAACGCCGTCATCGCCTCATGGCCCCTCCTGCCGAGTTGTCAGCACTAACATATATCTCTCAGCCAAGGCCCTTTTTCTGCACAAGCAGTTTGGTTGAGCCGGTCACGAGTCTCCAGGCATCCTGGCTCGCTGGGTTCGCATCCGAGACGGCCGGAGTCGCATTCGGAGGAGCGATGCTTCTGCCAGACAACCACTTTATAGCCCTCTACCACAGGGAGATGAGGCATCCACAGCTTTGGAACTGATGGTTGCAGACACACCAATCTACGGGGCAGTTGGATATGGTTGGATCACAATGGAGCCACTCTCGGGAGGAAAAAAACACAGAGTTTTGCCCCGTCTTCTGCGCTCCAGAGGCGAGTGCTTTGCACTCCAGAGCACATCTGGCTTCTTTGATGTTTTCATATGTTTTCACTGTAATACTGTTGTACTCAGATGTAATCAGAACAAAGTAGCAGTTGGGATCACTTTTCTGTGTTCCTGCGTTCCGGCCTCTTTTCACTACTGGCTCCTTTAGCTCAGTCCGGTGTCCAGAGCTGGATTGATTGGCCCGCTGCCCGTGGTACAGGCCACTGTGGCTTAGGTTTCGCTTGGACCTGAACCTGGTGCGCTCTGCTGCTGGTGAACGTGCATCACCTTTTCATGGTTTGTCCACGGTGGCTGCGCGTATCACCCGCAGATTGTTGAGTTGCACTACGTAATTGTTGCCACCAGATGGCACCCCCAGAAAGCTGGTGGACCTCGTGGCCCACGGTATGCTACGCATTGCTACGCTACCAAACATGCGAGGCGAGAGCGCGCTCGTGTCAATGTGTTTACCCGTTCTTTCAATTTTATCAATAAGGATCATACCCTAGGACTCCACCTCCTGAGAAGGTGGTTCAGGTGGGTTTAGGGGGGCCTAACTACCTTCTAAAAATATGGTTGGAGCCCCAACAAAAATGAAGAACCCTCAACTTTCGGAGGATCCTTTGAATCCGCGTGTGATTCCCACCTCACCAGGTCATCCCGGCCGAGAACATGGGCTCCATCGTGCACGCCTATGTGGCCCGGAATGGCCGGGGGCAGGGCGTCACACCATCGTTGTCACCCTTTCTTTGGATAGTTTTTAGGAGAACTAGGTGGATCCAGAAGCCAGAAGCACTTCACTTTCGTTCATTTGCTTTCCTTTCTGACCTTCCCTCGGACCACGTGTCCGGGTCGCACGGTTCGGTCCTTGGGAGCGCGACTGCCCTTGGACGAGCCAGAAACGGTCAGGAAGAAGAAATAGAGGCCCAGTTTGGCACCTGCCAGGATGGTGAGCTGAGGGAGAAACCCTGGACAGGCTTATAGGAAAGGAAGATTCAATACACGGTAGGTAGACGTATACGACCTACGCTTGCTCGAACAGAGGTACACTCCCTGGTATCATCATAAATTCGTGGGGTTCCTGCATGTAAGAATGCATGTGATTGTGTCTCGGCCTTTTTGACCCTCAAGGCTGCAGCTTACGCCTTGGCAAACACGGGCGGATGGTTCTGCCGGCGTTGGGCGGAAACGATGTTCAATGACCTATTTGGTCTTCGGATTTCATGGTCCCAGTCTTCGGGGCCGTGCCCGGTCCACGGTGCTTTCGCCTGCCGAACACTGAGGCCACTCGCTTGCGCTTTTGCCCTGAGGAGTTCCTACGAGCGGGCAACGCCCAGGGGATTGGATGTGGAATGACGTGTGACGTGGATCTGTGGATCCGAACATCGAGCCCTTCTATTGATGGATCCGACTTAATATACTTAATAAGTGAACGAGTGCAGAGCTGTTGAACTGGAAATGATTTTGTTTATCTCCAATGGTTCAGGGTGTGCTTAGTCCTTTTTCTTGACTATGAGCCATGGAAGGTCCCGAACTCTATTAAACAAAAAAACATTTGATAGTTGATGACAACACCCTAACCTATAGTTGAGGACAATACCGCAGCCATGAGTTCCTGCATTCCTGCACTCTTTGAGTGCGAGGTGAGACAACATTGTAATTAATGAACCAGGTGGCTGGGAGAGAAGATGTCCATTCAATTGATGGACGTGTCCAAATCTGTTGAAACATGTTGACAAAGAACTCTGATCTGGTTGGAGATGTTCTAATTTGTTTCATGCCTCAAAGTCAGCTCTATTTGGAGACCGTTTGATATTTCCCATTGGAAGAAATGTGTATGTATTATGTAATACATACACATTATGATACGTTAGATATACCATCACACTAACGCGTGACTGTTGAATACTTTTGAGACACATCCTGCACTGTTGCATGTGTCAAAACATGTTATTTTTTCCCATCAACTGGTGCACATCATTCTAGATGCTGTCTTATTGATGCATTGATTTGGGGGCCCTGAAGAGGTCGTGGAGCATTCGCTCCCCAAAGTCGTGATGCAAATGGAGTGCCTTTGGCCAGAGCAGGGAGGGGATCTCAGGGTATTGTTCTTGCTCAGACTCTCAGTTTGGAAGAAAGGCATGAAACTGAGGAGCAGGATCAGGGCAAATGGAATGGGGTTTGAGACATTGCAATATTGGTCGGGGCTTCAGCGTAGGAGTCAGCGCGGGGATTGTGAAGAGTCTGCGATCGTTCCATCCTAGCTCGGGTTTTTTGCTCTAGGAACAAGTGCCACGCTAGTAGTAACAGGTGCCTTACTAGTAGTAACAATGTTTGCTATTAGGAACAAGTGCATCGCTTCTAGTAACAATGAAACTCGAAGTGACGAGTAGAACTCCTAGAAGCTTTTACACATCCCGAAACACTCACAAAAGTGGAACAGTTCGGCGCCTGGAATACACTTTTTTCCCTTTACAAGCGGGAGCCTGCTGGGCCTGCGGCCTGCTTCCATGCGGGAGCTGAGGGAGGGTACACTCCCTGACATAATCGATGGAAGTGGATGGCCCGGCCTCGATTTCGGACGACAATGTTCCGAATTGGGAATAGGACGACTATGGTGGTGAACTCCACGTAACCATGATTGTTTCAGGGACTGTACGAGATTCTTCGCTAGTAGGTCACTAGTAGGTTGGAAGTAATTGCTATTAGGTTGGAGGCCATTTCTCGTAGGGTGGAGGCCATTGCTATGAGGTTTCAGGGACTGTAAACCTTGAACACGAATCCGGTTTTAATGGGTCCGAGTCCAGGCAGTCCGTCTGTGGCTTAATGTTATTTTTTCTCATCCTCGACGAGAACAACCTACTACCTATAACCTTGTTTCCTTACCAACATCAACCTCATTACCACAGCTAAAGCGGTCATCACCTACTGAGCTACTGATGCTTGGCTTTTGTTCGAACCACACATGGCAAACCACACGTGGCTGGCTTAAGAGCAGCCCGTAATGGAGAGCCAAACCAAGCACAAGCAAGCCAAGGTTACCGGACACCATCCTCACCGTAGCAGCCTTGAAAAACATGCCGAAGGCGCAGATCCGTGCCCCGTGAGACAATCCATCGGCCTTCTGATTCTGCGAGTGTTCTGATCAGCTTCAAAAAGTTTGTTAGCTCAGTTTTAGTTCAGTCAGCTCGCTGAATCTCGCTGATGGTTTCCAAGATAGTTCCGTTTAGACCAAGTGAATTAGCGTTTGGTCAAGGCTCATTCGATAACATGTTCTCTGGTGAGGTAAGAACATGGGAAGTTCCGACCTCCAAGATATAGTACAGTATATGTTTCCGACTTATATAATGTAGTAGACTCTTGATGAGTAAATCCACTGTTTGAATTGGAAGTTTTCTTCATGTGCGGGTTTATTCATCAAGAGTCTACATTACCGTTCACAAGACATGGGGTCAATGGGGTTCTTGGAATTCCCAAGAGTTGTCCTTCCTATTCTTGAACCTCCACGGTGGATATTTCAGCAGGGTGCTTGTTTGGTCGAAGAAAGCACCGGTTCCCAGATGTCCAGCGCGAAACTCAGAGTCCCCATCCACAGAGTCCCCAATGACGCCCCCCTGGACACCCTTGGATTCATGGCCAGGGTATCGTATAATATGTTCTAGACCATCGTTAGGCTTAGGCCATCATTTCTGCCCGGCTCGGCTTCATGTTTTAGAAATTCATGTCGTCCACTCCCCCGAAAAGGCGACGATTCCCTTAGCCGTAGCCAGCCAAGCCCCTGAGTGCGAGGAGGGAATGGGTAAGAATGTACCACCGAGTACAACTGGTCGTAACGGACCACAATGCCTATGTAATGGGTAGGAACCTACGCAAAAAGATCTTGAAGCAATGAAGCATAGACACTAATAACGTACAGGAAGATGCAAAAGTGAAGCATATCAAGTTCAATCAAGGAGGGTGTTCATCGTTATGGAGTTCCTGGAACCAGTAGTGGGTGGATGCTTATCCATTTGAGCATTGCCCCCAAATTGACAAGAACACCTACAGGGGACAAAAACACCGAACCACAGACAAAGTCGTTTTTTACACACGATAGCCGTAAATGATCGGAATCGGACATGTTTGCCCAAGAAGTTCCTAGTAACAAGAGGCTACTAGTAACAAGTGCCTCGCTAGTAGTAACAAGTGCCTTACTACTAGTAACAAGAAGCTAACTACTAGCTTCTTGTTACTACTAGTAAGGCACCTGTTACTAGCGTGGCACTTGTTACTAATAGCTATATATATATGTGTGTTTTGCTTTTGTTGATTTGTTTGGTAGATGGACTCCACAAGACTTCAAGGGGTCAACACGCGAGTTACGTGTGATGCGACATACCTGAGCAGCTGTCGTTGGGGGTGGTTGGATCTGATTTTGCGGGTGTGCTCTCCTCGAAGGAATGTGTTGTCTTGGGGTTGGACGGTTGGTTGCCCCAGTGCTTTCAGGATCCAGCATCATGCGCATTCAGGATCCAGGGTTTCCCCGGCCTATTTGTGGATTTCATGGGGTCCTTCTAGCTTAAGTTGATTACTCCCACCAGCTAGGCGCTAGCATGGCGTTTGTGTTGCTCTAATCAGTTTTTGCTTCCTCAGATAGTGACAGCTATTGGGGCTCTTACTTCCTTCACGTATAGGAAAAGGTGCCTGTGTGCGCTTTGGGGATTGGGTGCTGGTGCCGTTGCAGGGTGCCGCTGCCAGATGCATATGGCCTGTGTGCATTCTGGAGCTTGGGTGCTGGTGCTCTTGCAGGGTGCTGCTGCAGGGTGATGCCCACAAGTATCCCTTCCTACTTGGGGTCTATGCTGGTGTAATTTTTGGGATTCTGTGTTCGATAAACAGAAACTGTGATGTAGATAGGGCTAGTTAGCAGTGTTTTTGTTTGATGGGATTTATGAGAGCTTGTCTTCGTGCGCGAGGATTTTTTGTGCTAGCTCGGAGCTAGCTATGCGCCAGCAGGAATCGCAGAAACGGGAAAGGCGTGCCCGGTAGTCCACCATCCAAATGACCCCAATGCAGGTCTCGAGAATAGCGCAGTGCTGACGCCACATGAGCGCAAGAGGTTGAAGGATGCAGGACGTGATGCAAACGACCATGTTCATGGAAGACAACCCAGCTGAGGTTCAAAAGGGCGCAGTAGCTTATTTATCTTATTTGCTGGGTAGGAAGCAAGACCACACACAAAAAAAACACAAAACAATGTACTGGAACATGATGTCAAACGATGTCAAGGTATTGGAAACATATATGATCAGTGACGTCAAATGTCACTGGTATGGAAAAATATGGCACGCATGGTCTGGCGAATTCACGCTGCTTTTGGGAACAAAACTTTTGTCAACCACGCCAGTTGATACGTACTTGCGCAGACCTGCGCTAACTTTGACTTATAACCTATATAGGTTATAACCTACCCTAACCTAGTCATAACCTAGGTTATAAGTCCCATATCTTCTGTAAGCCACCTAGTTGACTTAGCTTTGACTTAGTAAGAGATATAAAAGTTAGTAGTTAGTAAACACTTATGGCGGGCTTAGCCAACTTTGAAGAGTTAGCTCCGACTTATGGCTAAGTTGGCTAAGTCGGCTAGGTCAAAGTCAAAGCTAAGTCGACTTAGCTGCTAAGTCGGCTATGTCAGCTAAGTCGGCTAAGTTGGGCCAGGATCATGCTATAAGTCACGAAAGGTAGCTTGAGCTACCTGAGTTCTCCTTGCTTTAGCAAAAAATATTACAATCAGGAGTTGGGATTGTGCATTGAACTTGGTCCTGTAAGAGATGATTCTGTTCGTCGGGGGGGGGGGGGGGCCCGCCCCTCCCTGGATCAAATCCCCCCTGCGCCGGTTCACGGCGTCATGGACTTCTACCAGGGTTACTTGTGATTGCCTGCTACCTTTCGTTCACCCCCTCCTCTCTCAAGTTGAATATGTTTGACACCAAAACATTTAGAACATATAGAAACAACTTGACATTATTTGACTGCAGACTTATTTATATAAGTAGAACAAAAACTGCCAGTAAAACATCTGGCATCTGACGTTGTCTGATTGTAGGCTAATGTAAAAGGAGAAATCTGTCAGAAACAAAATCTGACACTGTCTGACTGCAGACTGTTTTAGAAGGAGAAAACTGTCACAAAAACATCTGACACTGTCTGACTGTAGACTCTAGACTACTTTAGAAGGAGAAAATCTGACATTGTTGACAGCAGACTATTTACACAGTAAACATCTGACAGCAAACTTAGCCAGGTAGACACTTAGTCGACTGAACCGACTTACCTAACATAGACTTAGCCGACTTAACCGACTTAGCTAACATAGACTTAGCTGACTTAGCTCTATAGACTTAGCCGACTTAGCTAAGTTAGTTAAGTCAAAGCTAAGCCAAAGCTAAGTCCAAGGTAAGTCGAAACTATGTCCCATGCCTAAGTCTGACTTAGCGGACTTAACTAAGTCCTAGCTAGGACTTACTAACCCTTCTAAGTCAAAACACGTCAAAGCTAGGCTTAGCCAAGCTTAAGGGTCCGCGCAAGTAAAGTATCAATCTGAACCCTTCGAAGCATTGTGAAGGGAACTGGCTGCAAACAGAAACAAGTTTTTGCCAGTTTTCGCCAATGTTTTTGGAGTTGAGATGGAATGTCATCTTTTTAGATCTAGCATACCGCTTACTACACTTACACCGTTCTTTGCCATTTGAATCCAGATTCCGAGCTGATCACCTCCATACTCCGCCGGCGCAAAAGACGGTAACAATTTTGTTCTTCCCATCGCAGGAGTCCTTCGACTTCCCCCGCATCCGCGGTCCAGTCTTTGCCCAGTGCCTGAAGTTCATGCCCAAGCCATTCGGCCCTGGCCCGGGGGTGGGCGAAGGGCGGACGGGCGGAAACACCAACAATAGAAAACTATATATACGTACTGCAGAGGTGTTCCTTGTGTTCACTAGCCAAAAGCCGTTTTGGTTGGTTTCATGGCTTTGGGGTGCCCGACCCTTTGTTTTGATTGCCCACAATACTTGTAGATCGAGGTCGGAAGGTTGTGGAACTGAACATATTTTTGCCGGACCATGGAAATATTTGACTCCTTGACCTTTTCGAGCATCGGCGGTTTGACGCGCATAGGTGTGTGAAACTCAGTTTAGTTGTTGTTTTGCAACCGCTGCCGCTGAACTTATAGAAACATTGACTGAATGTTGCGTTTGGAAACAGCAAATTTGATGCTGAGGTCGTGTTTGTTCCTACACCCAAGATTGGGTTTGTCGCCGGATGGGTCGTGTTTATCGCAATCCCTTGGATTCTGAGGCTCATGAGCAGCGGTTTGGTCAGCGTGATGGCCGGGAGCGCGATGGCGTGATGACGTTTCAACCGGAAGTTTCAGGGTTTCCAAATCGCTTCCGCTGTGTTCACATATTGTATGAACCCAGTTCCACATGTCCAGTGGTCTATCAGCTTGTGCCATTGAAGCGAAATTCCCTGTATTTAACGGGACTTGGACGTTTCACTCCAAAAAGAGTTTTGCGTGAAAGGGGTTGGATTTGGATGTGATGACTTGTTACATTTTTTTGGAAGATGGTCCGAGCTCACAATGAGGTCTTTCTGGCCAAAGAATGTGGGAGTGTAGGGTGCATGGTCAGAACGAACATGACACCCCCAAGTATTTATTTCATCATTTTAGTATATTTCTACTTGAAGGCTAAAGGGAGACAAGCTACTTTCGCTACACTTGGGACGCCATCCTTTAAGTGAGGCAAATCTTTACATTGGCAGCCAACCATTGGCAGCTTTACTTTGTTCATTTGTGGTGCAGGGGGGTACGGGTTAGGCTGACCTGGGACGTGTACTCTTACTTGGCGTCCCTGGCTCTGGCAGCTGTCTACGTAAGATAAGTATACTACATACCACTCATACAAATCACTAAACAAACGCGCAGGACCTCAGTTGTTGTACCATTGGACCATTATATATAGTCAATAAACGACCCTGTGGTCCCACTTCTCAGCTTCTACAATGAGGCTCTCCCCGCCCTCAAAACTGCTGTGTATACATGCATTCCTTTTTGGATGATTTACAGGCTTTCAGCCTGATCGTTCGGGAATCTCTTGTTTGTGTGAGAGTTCTGAAGCACTCCAACAAGTCGCGAAACCCTCAGTTTCACCCCACATCCTGAAGAACTTCCACAAAAAGCGTGTGGTCTCCTATCTCCTATCACCTCCTGTGGTCACATGGCCACCATCACCTCCGTCTGCGGGAGGCCGCTGCGGTCCATTTGGAGCATGAGAATCCCCAGTTCTGGACCCAGATCTTCTGGCAAGGAGCCGTGCGAACGAACGAGCCGGACGAGTCGGGCGGAGACGAGGAGACGGGAGACGGGAGCTTCACATAGCAAGCCTTTTTAAGGTCGGTCAATTCCAAAGATTCCAAGAGACATCACATAGCATAGACCACATCAATCAAGATTTTGGGATAACATCAATCGAGGTTATACATGTTGGGTGGTCGGTGAATGGAGGATTGGCCTATTCGTGCACATGGCCCATGTTGTGTTGGAAGTCGGAAAAGCCAGAGGCAGGAAGTCCAACAAAACGACTGATTCCGCACCCAAGCCAGTGGTTTGTTTCAGTTGGAGTTGAATATGTTGAACCGTCAAGCCACGCCAAAAGGGTGCTGGGGAGGGAAGTTGGTCCAGTTGGACCATTTGCGTGCCTCTCTCTCTCTCTTTGGCGCGTAGAGTCAACCTTCGACGATTCGAGCGAAGATGAGAACAGTCTCAGCCCAGAAGATACTTTTGGCTACAACAAACAGCTGTTTCCGGGAGGAAGTGTGGCTTCGAAGATGTGGACATTTCTTCAGATCCGTTGGATGGTGGATGGATGGATTGCGTGGAGAAGGGACAGAGTCTACTCTCAGTTGAGAGAAGAGTGGCAATGGAGGAAAAGGATTATGCTAAATCGTTTCATGTAGTGTCCGTCCCATTTGATTGAACATCAACGGAATGTCTTGGATTGATAGATATGTTCTAGATTCTAGCACATTAGGGTGTACCATTCATTGCTTTCTCACAGCCCACAAGACCGATTACCTTGCAGCACAGCATATCAGTTGCATAGGTGCAGATGCAGAGATGAATCTGTGTAAGATCCTTGATGCTGATTCGAGTACAAGCCGCAATATAACAACTGACAAAGAGATTCGTCACTGACGCCTTGAATGAGAAACTTTTTGGCTGTATCAAGCGTTATGAGAAAGAACAGGACTGGTGTGCAAGTATCTCAAACGCAGAACGCCTGTCCATTTACAGAATTTGCCTGACGAAACTGGTTGTGAATGTGTCGGAGACGGAGACGGAGGTTCTTTGGTATGCAAAGAACAATTGAAGCAAGCAAAGAACCGGACCCAGGCCCATGGGCCTCGAATTCCCTGGCCATTGCGCAGTTGGATGAAGTGGTGACCTAGATGCTTTCTGGGATGGTTCCAAGCAACCACAATGGCAAAAGGTCGACCAATCACTTATGGACTGCCCGGACTGCCTGCCTGTACTGCCTTCTGTCCATGAGACAAGTCTTGACGCACAGACGTACACATTCAGATGATGTTTGGAACCATAGAGTTTCTCACATTTCGTCCACCAGATGTTTGGGCCACTGGGGACTATGCTTGTAAATTCAACAATAATAAAACCATGTTGTGCTGCAAGGCATTTTTGGGGTTTTGATTGCCCAAAAGCTTACTGTGCTGTGTAAAGCATTTTGGGGTACCGTGACAGACATCGATTGGTTTGCATCGCTGCACTGCCGAGAACGCACTGCACGTATCATAACGAAAAGATCACTGGGCTGCGTCCTCACGCCCCTGCTCCTCCACCCCAGTTCGACGCTCCAGCAGAGTGTGTCCGCAGTGTCCCCCTGGTCCTGGTCTCCATCCTTCGGTCCGAAGCCGCACCGACCCCAACAGGCGCTGCTTCCTTGCGCGGAAGCACCTGGCCTGCGGCGCCGGCGGCCGCCTTGGCGCTGTTGCTGGTGGAGCTGCAAGGACTTTGGTGGCGTGGGCGTGGGAATGTGTGGGGTGAAACTGACTCAGATCAGCCAAGTGTCCAGCCTGGTCCAGCCTGATAGAAGCGGACCCAGCCAAAGCTCCTGGAGCGGCTTGAGGACACGAGGGACTGGGAAGAGTCTAGATCCACCTGGGGGGAGAAGGACCTTTGTGCAATTTGGAGAAGGGCAATTGTTCTGCGAGCTGTGCAGGATGTTTTGTCATGTTTTGTTGATCCCTATATGCAGCAAGTTTCAACCACCCACCACCCAGTTTTGCTTTTTGACGTCGCTGAAGCGGACCGAAATCAGACCAGAAACTTACCAGCGCTGTAACTCACCATAGCATGTTGTTTCAGAAGGGATCCACTTTTGTTTCGCTGCCCGCGCGGTGCAGCTGCGGGAATGATGGAGAAGGAAGAGGGGTGAGCCAGAGAGGAAGAAACCTGAAACAGATAAAAGAGTCCATTGTAGATATTGTTGTCCTGTTGTGCAAACCAATTGGTTGCACTTGGATCCACGTGGGGGTGATGTTCAAGGGGGTCATCAGACACCAGCGAAAGTTCATTGACATCAGGAGGTATTAATTGATCAGGTTGGGAGCAGCGATTTCCTTTGGGTTTTTGTCGAATCGGATTCTTTTGCAATCCACCTCAATTCGGTCGTTCGCCAGAAAAACCGGAACATCGGACATCCCAGATTTCGTCGCTCAAGGACTCCGTCCGACTCCGCGCCGTCCGACTCGGCCCCGGCGCCGCGATGCGCCGATGTTCGATCTCCCAGGAAGTGCATTGGCCAAGACGGAGATGGTGCGCCTGCAAGAGGCACTTGCAGAGTCGGTCCTTTCCGGAGGCGTGCCGAAAGGGTCCAGGCTGAAAGGGAAAGGGATGAAAGGGCAGGGAATTTGCAGTAGCGCTGTAGCGCTCCCATCATTGCTTTCCCCGTTTCAAAAGACCACTGCCCCATGGCCGTGGCATGAATGGATTGCTCACCAGTCGCGCTATTCACGCTATTCCGCCGGTCCCGCAGGTTTCAGCGAGATGCCTTTGGAAACCTTGAGCGATTGGGCCAAGGCCTTGTCCAGACTGCAGGGCTTCGAGGTCTTGAAGGCAGGGAGACCTCCTTGCACGACGGTGGAAGAGCCACTTTACTGGGGATTGGTTTCCCCCCTAAACAATGAACAGGTGGCCGAGGTTCATTGCCTCTTGTCCAAGGAAACTGAGGGAGTCAGGTTCAGGTGTTGATTGCCACGTGCGAAGTCGAACGAGCGCAGGAACGAGCGAGGTTTGGGTTTGACGGGGATCGGAGTGTCCTGAAGTCTCCAGTCTTGGTGGATTCGAGTGTGGAAAAGAGGTAGGTAGGTGACCAGTAGGAGGAAATAGGCCAGGCCGCGCCTGTTGGTGGTGGGTGGGTGGCTGTAATTTGCTATTAGGTTGGAGGCCATTACTACTAGTAGCAAGAAGCTATTAGGTTGGAGAGTGTAATTTGTCAGTTGCATCCAACCTTCCAGAGTTGGCATTGGTTCCCGCCAAACTGTAACAAACTGTGTCTTGGGGCCACTCTGAGCGCTGCAAGCTCTTTCATGGGGAAATGCCAAGACATGACACGTCACTGTCTTCCATGTCAAAGGGGGTCACATCTCCCGAAGTGGAACCTCCCGAAGTGGAACTGGTCCGAGGCTCCCGTGTTGTCCGAAGCCACTCGTCGCCTGGGCGCCGGGGTGGTGCCGGCGGCGGCGCGGAAGGGGCTGGTGGAGGCGAGGGATGGCAAGGGCGTGGGGACAGGTGTGGGGAAGGGGCTGAAGAGAGGATGAAGGGAGGAAGTTGAGTTTGATTTGGTTACCAAAGTTCGTGAACATCAAATAGCAGAATGGGTGACACTGTGGGAGTTTCTTGTTCTGTGTGTGTGAGATCGAGGGTCTGTCTGCGAGAGGAGAAGTTTTTTGTATGTGATTTGCTTCATGTTTCAGAGCAGACCCGTGTTTTTGAAGCGACATGGTATGACATGGCTGCCACAGATGCTCGATTTGTGCATGCTGGCGGAGGCGTTGCAGCAGATGCACGGTGAAAGGCTATTCGAGGACATTCAGCATATCTCAGTGCTCAACACTTGGCTTAAGCTGGGCCAAAATATTGTCAATATCATTCGATATGTGGAATCACTTTGAGGTGTTCCTTAGATTCGGCTCCAGGGCAAAAGAAATCATCAAACAATGCGTGCTGAAGAAGGCCCTGTTTAAAACTCTTCCAGGAATAACGACTTAAGTGGGGCTATGTTGCTGGCCCACTTTAGATGGTGTCATATATGGCAATACTTATATAATGACATGTGTCGCTGTTCAATTCCTAGATACAAAAGGTGACCTCAGGGATAGATACTGATGGCCTATATAGGCATGCAAGGAGCATCGTTTCATTATTTGGTGTACCATGGTTACAATGTCAAGATATATCAAGTCCCGCCGCCCAAATCGCGATAGATGTGAGCGCCCCAAGCTGAAGAATCCGTTTCTTGCATAGATCAGCGGCCATGTTGCATTGTTGCCGTGAACAGGGGCCGGCGGGTCCTTCACTTGCTAGGCAGATTCCTGTAAATGACAGTTGAATCCTCTTTGGGGAGGCGGGAGCTGATCTTCTTGAATTCTGTAAGTGCATGTTAAGGGTCCATGATTAAATCCGGGCAAATTGACAACTTGGACAGGTTTGTAAATATAGGTGCCCCTCGTTTCCTTTTGCACATAATTATATACTGGATCGGTCGATCCTGGGTTCAGTGAGACATGCACAACATGCGCCGCATCTCAAAAGCCGCTGCGGGAAGATACGTCACATGTGGAGTTCTACCTCCAGCTGCTCCAGCCGAAATGGCTCTGGGAGGCAGAGGCTGGCAGCTGCCGTTTTGAGCGGCCAAACTGCCAAGCCTCAACCACTCTGGCCTCAACCCGCGCACTCCTTAAGCAAAGCAGGCGGAAAGTGGCCGAGCTACATGCCAGTTGAGGCCGATGCAAGGAAACGGATCGAGGCCGAGGACTTGCTGCATCAAGCCATCGCCTGCGTGACGTTGCACGTCCACAGCACCAAGCTCTGACCACGAGTGCAACGAATGACCAACTCCCTGACACCAGCTTGCCCTGCAAGCAGTGCATCCTAGTGGACACGTCTTCCATAAACAGCTCGGTATAGATGCAAAAACTTGGATGACTTGGCATCTTCACCGAGTCTTCATCCATCTCTGCAGGCCTGGCGCCACATTTGCATCCAGAAAACACTCTCCAAGACTCCCTGAAGGTTCGGTTCGTGGAGGAACCTTGCAGATTGCATGAGCTGGTCGAGAGTCGACCCATGCGCTTGACGTGACTTAGTCGGGTCTCCGTAGCCATTGGCCATTGAGCCTCTCTTGCCAGGAATGATAGAACAAACAAGCTCAGCGATGAATGATGCGAGGAAACAACCATTGCAGGCTGACAATCCCGCTACACCTAGCACACCTAAACTGGCTTGGCGCGGGCACACAAGAAACCAGTGAGCCCAGTGAGCCTATTGGTGCCCCTATGGAATCCCAAATTCAAGTTGGCCACTTGTTGGAGACATCCACAGCATGTCACGAGCATTTGACGCACGCGTGAGGAGTTTCCTTTCCTTGCGCGATCCGAGCCGACTCCGACGACGTGAGTGGCCTGGAGTCCGAAGTCGCCTGGAGCTATTATTGGCCGGTCAAACCGGTTGATCAACTCCACCACACAGTGTCTGACTTGACTGAGAAGGTCTTAGTGTTGAGGAAAAATCTTCCAAGCAATGTACTCTACATGGTGAGGAATTCGCTCTCCCAAAGAAGGTATATAGATGCTAAGCAATCTTGTTTAAGCGACATCTAGATGAACCGCGTGGAGAAAAAAACCTGAGATGGCGCCCAGTGTGGGCACTTTTCTGGATCCCACTGGGCCCGGCCTGGATCCCACGCAGCCTGAATCGCAGCCTCCCAAGTTGTGATCTATAAATCACCAAGATCTCCGGATCCACCCACAAGAAGATGAGGGATGGTTGTGCGGTGTCTGGGGTCTTGCTTCCTGGCCAGCGGGCGCCCGACTGACGTTGGTCATGGAATCCTTCAGATGGTTCATTACCCAGGCCAGTCCGGCCTGCTCTTCCATGGGGCTGGTGAAGTGGATGTGCAGCCTTGGACGGAGGCAGAGATCAGGGAAATGCACTGAAGACGCGAGGTGAAGATTTTATTTGCTTCCACCCAAAGGTTTGGGTCTATTCAATTTTGCAGAGTCATCCATTGAGATTGAAGGGCCTGAAGGGTATTGATCAGTGTTGGAGCCTTGACAAACCCTGAGACAATATGAGACAATAACGTGTGTTTTCTGGTCAAAGTGTTCGTTCCGAGTGTTTGTTGGATTTCAACATCAAGTGAGGTATCATGCCAACCACAGCACTATACATAGCGATAACATGCAATGCTACTGCGGCTCGGCCAAACTAAGTTTTATTCCAATACTCTTGCAAAGTGAAGACCTTTGAACTGCTGTGAGTCTGGACAACCAAGATCTTGATTCCTTATACTTTTAGTGGCGAACCGCATGGGAAACAATATGTTTCAACTGGATTCCTCTTGGGACGGCGCAAAGGTTGCAGATTCTTCAAGCGGAATGAAGAGATGTTTAGCTGATCCTGGGGTGAATCAGTTGACATTCCAAAACAACCGAGCAAAGTACTGTAAAGCGATGTAAAGAGTCATCCACAAAGGGCTGTGTTTACGTTTGTGTTCAAGAGATTATTTTGTGAGAAAACCTGGGCTTTGGTACAGCCCCAAAGAACTCCAACAGTTTTACCATTTATATAGGAGGCATCCAAGAGACTGAAATCACATTCACATTCGCTAGAATAAACAAAAGGTCACCTGCAGTTGAGGGTCATCGAAGCTCCTACTCGAGTAGAGAGTCTTGCCTGGAATCCACGGTCCGGCTCAGCTGCGTCCGATACTTAGAGGGGTGGTTGTGCTTGGACTCCATGTAGTACACCTCCAACTGCGGAGCGCTTAGTGAATGGGTTCAGTGGGAAAGGTCCGGTGCTTCTTGAGCAAAGAGCACCCACACCAAACAAATCTAGAAGCTGGCAGCTCACCACTGGTAGCGGCCTGTGATTTTGACCTGTAGCCTTTTGCTTAAACATGCTAGGAGCGAGATCTAGCTTAAACTAGCATCCAGATGCATCCAATATGTTCACCTATTTCTGTTTGATATGAGTCTAAAACCCAGTAAAAACCTGGATGAACCTGACCTGCTGTGTTGTGCCCGTCTCCTTGCTTTGGAGGCTGCTCCGCCCTGTCCGCCCTCAGAAGCGTTCTGCCGTCAGCTTCATGGAGCAGCTTCACCGCGCTCCGCAGCTCCGCGGCCGTCCACGCGGCCGAGGAACGAACATGGCCAGTGAAAAAAGCTAGTAGCGAACCTTGTTACTACTAGTAAGGCACCTGTTACTACCAGCGTGGCACTTGTTACTACTAGCTTCTTGTTACTACTAGTAAGGCACCTGTTACTACTAGCGTGGCACTTGTTCCTAGTGGCTTCTTGTTCATAGCGTCCTTGCTCCTGGTAGTACGGCCAGGAGCCCCTAGTAGCGTCCGATCGCTCCGTTCGTAGCGATGCCAGGAGCCCCTATAGATGCCCCTAGTAGCTTCTTGTTCCTATAGTAGTATGGCCAGGAGCCCCGTTCGTAGCGTCCGATCGCTCCGTTCGAGTCGCGATGCCCTTTGTTTGTGTCCACCGGAGGTGGCTTTATTCTAGAAAACCTAGAACTTGAAAAAAAAGCAAAAGAAAAGCAAAAAAAAAGCAAACTAAAAAAGCACCAGCAAAACAAAGAGCAACCAAGAAAGCAAAAAAAAAGCAACCAAAAGTGCAACCAAAAAAGCACAAGCAAAACCAAAAGCAACCAAGAAAGCAAAAAAAAAGCAAGCAAAAGTGCAACAAGAAAAACAAGCAAAACAAAGAGCGACTAAACAAAAATAACAATCTGTAATTGGCGACGTTGGGCCAGTTAGACATCCTAAACGATACAATACATAGTATAATAGCGCAAAGAGGTTGGTGGGTGGATCCAGATATGATATGATTAGATTGGAGTTCCAATGGTTCCAAAAATATGATTGGAGTCATTGGATGGTTTCTCACCTTGCGCAGTAGCTGTGAGCGACTGGGTGGACTCTACACTCTACACCCGTCCAAAAAAGATCTGGGGTGTCTGACATCTACACGGTCCCTGAGGTTTTTGCACTCAGCCGGGCTTTCTAGCGCACTTTCTGGCGCGCTTTTGGGAAGGGTCCACTTACTGGCGCCCTTTCTGGTGCACTTTTGGGGAGGGTCCACTTTCTGGCGCCCTTTCTGGTGCACTTTTGGGGGAGGGTCCACTTTCTGGCGCCCTTTCTGGTGCACTTTTGGGGGA